TTTAAATAACACGTCATCTGAATATGACAAAGCAGTGTCTACACTTGAGGGTTTTGTGATCCATTCATATATTTGGTTGTGGGACAAATGGTTGATGTATCTCTTAGCAAAAGTCTCATATACAAATCTATAAAATCATATGTTACATCCATGAAGCATAAAATAAAAACCGGGAAAAATAGCCATATCATTTTAAATTAATTTATGTAGACATTTGTACTACAGTGCATTAGCCATTTGAATTAATAATAATTCCTAGTTCAAAGAAGGGGTATAAATCCTTGTAGGAACTTGTTAGTGATAATTTAATGGCTATATATAAAGCTGGGGCAGGGAAACAGGGAGATTTCCCTGGAGAATGCAAGAATCATCTGTGTCTGAATGAGAGTAAATCTCTTGCTGAAAATCTGTTGTGGATGTCCCTGTTAGTCTTTTATAGAGTCCAGTCAGAAATCCTACCATGCTGGCCTGGAAGAGATGGACTTTCTGCATGCTTGGGAGGATTCCAGGAAGCAAATCAATGGCTGGGTAGAGGAAAGGACTGAAGGTGAGTGCTTTTCCAAGTGCCCAATTGTGTTTAATGGTATCCATTTTTTATGTAAACACCTATCCCTGGGTATAGGATTGTGAATTCAGACAACTCAGATGATGAACTATTGCTGTATTTGGTACATAGTTCTCTTCTCTATTGTTTATTAATCGGAGAGCAGATACTGTCTTGGAGAATATTTAGATACATTTCCAACTATTAAAAAAATGCAATTTTTATCTTTTGTGTCATAAAGGTAAAATTCAGAACCTGTTGGCAGAGGGGATTCTCGATTCCTTGACCAGGCTTGTGTTGGTGAATGCCATCTATTTCAAAGGCAACTGGGAAGAGCAGTTCAACAAACAGAGTACCACAGAAAGGCCATTCCAAATTAATAAGGTATGATGTGCTAAAATTCTGGCAATACGCTGTTAATCTGAAGTAGCCTGAAATGACCACCTTTAAAAAGAAATGAAATTTTTCAAGCAGGGTTGCCTTGGGTGGGCTGTATGAGATTCTTTCTGCCCCTCCCTTTCATATGCATACCATCTTTGCTGAGTTTCTCTGAACTTTTCACATAATTACAAGAACCTTTCATATAGCACAAAGACAGGTGTGAAAGTTTGTGAATTTAAGTCTTCTTCAGTCAGAGCTTCCCTGCTGCATTTCTGCCCCTGAGCCAATACAAAAGAAATGGAAAGCAAATTTCCTTTGAAGACCTGTGTTCTCTACAGTCTTGATTTTAGAAGTAGGTCAGTGCTCTTGAGGAAGACTTGGCCCCTGTCATGGGCAGGCCATGGCTGCCCCTCAGGATCCCCTGCAGCCCTGGGTTGGCCTCCAGGAGTCAAGAAGAAGAACGGGTAATGTGCCTTCCTTAACTCACCTGCTTGAAGCAGCCATTATGGAAAATGGAAGCTCGCATGCCTGTCTGGAAACTGTCCCTCCCCACAGTGGTGAAATAAATCCAACAAGCCTTTTAAGTGCTACAAGGAGATTTAAATAAGGGAGTGTTACTGTTCACCCCATAATCTGTACAAGAGCACTTAAGAAACCTCTGGACTGGCTTGCTTCCTGACACCCTGTCCTCCATGAACAATTGGAAATGCAAGATGTAAGCTGAAACCTTAAGCTAGTTATTTTACATGCTGTTCAGTAACAAAGAGTTACTTTGTCATCCCAGGAACATTTCCAACATCCTGTGAAATTATTTTTGTGACTCTTGCAATTCTTATGACTTGCTGGACGATTTTCTATTGCTGTGTGGCTTTCCTTTCCTTTTGCTTATTGATCCTTTTCATGTGTCATTTTGTCTGCAAAATAATTTCTGCCATATTCTCTCTGGGCATTATTCTAAGGGGCACTGCTTTAATAAGAAAAAGCTAGTTACGTGACAATCTCATTAAGGGAAAGGAGAAAGCAATGAAACTGAGAAGAAGGAAACTAATGAATAATAGCTGATGCTCCATGTGGAAATGGAATAAGATAGCAGAAAATGAAAATTAGAATTAAATCTCTCCGCTTACTACTATCCTTATGACTTTTAAGAATCAAAATAATACTCTTTCTTGGTAGCTTTAGTATCTACATTTTAAAATATTTTAAGTCTTTGTTATAGCGATTGGAACCACAAAGATTAACAATAAATACATTGAAATGATTTATTAATTTATTGTGAAGAACAATGTCCCTGCTTATTACTAGCTCATATTAGTACTTGTCACTAGATCTTAAGTTAACAAAAAAGGTGGGGACATGTGTTTACCTTAAACGAATCTTCAAAAACATTTTTACATTAGTAATTAAAAAGGAAATCACAAGATATTTGTTATTTACAAAGGAGAGTGTGGTGTCTGTGTTCTGTGGTGTGTGATCAGTTTTCCTTGGTAAAATCCTAAAAGGCCCAAAGTAACTTGCTGCCTGCTTTGTAGTTTGAGACTGGCAGAGTAGCTCAGCACTCACTGTTGACATCTCTTCATTTCTAGAATGAGACCAGGCCTGTGCAGATGATGTTCAAGGAGGCAAATTTTAACATGACCTACATTGGAGACTTTCAGACCAAAATCCTTGAGCTCCCATATGTGGGTAATGAACTGAGCATGATCATCCTGCTCCCTGATGCAATCCAGGATGGATCCACAGGCTTGGAAAGAGTAAGTTGTTGAGCTGAGTGCAAAGACAGCCTGAATCCTTCCAGGGAAGAAAGTGTGAATAGCACAGAAACGTGCAGTTCAGTTCCAGAGCAATTGTGTGGCTGGTGCTCAAGGCCAGCAGAAATGTCCCTCTGCTCCCCATCCCCAAGGTGACAGCCCCTGCTGTGTCAGTGCTGCTCAGGCTGTGTGCTGCTCCCTTAGGCAGAGGCTCTGGAAGATGAGCTGGCCCTGCTCAGGAGCAGAGGTCAGCTGTGGTTGTGGTGAAGGCAAAGTATGGTGATGATGGAATGTGGAGAGGGGGATTTTGGGTGGGCTCTTTGGAAGTCCTGTGGCTTGTCCTGTAGGTCTTCTGTGCTGAGCAGCTGCAAGGTGGTGTGTGGCTCACTGCCTGGAAAGAGGCTCACAGGAAAGGGCAGGATACTAGTTTGGGCTCTTTGGCACTCTGGACAAGGAGTTTATGAATAATGTTTTCTAAGACTGACTGCAAAGGGCTTTTGTGAACACACTGTTTTCATGATGCTGCTGACTGACCTGAAGGTTCAACCTTTGGTGAAGAGATAGAACTGGGTGTGGTTTCTTTGTGTCCTTGTTAGCTGTTCTTCCATGCCTTTCTGTCCCATAAGTAAAAATTCTAAAAAACCCTGAACTGTTTAAAATGTTCTGTAGAAGTAAGCATTACATGGAGGGGTTTGATCCCTATTATAACAGCCAGAACAAACATTTGGTAATAATCTTCATGGGGGCAGTATTCTCTAGTCATAGGTATAACTTACAGTTCCAACTTGAGACACTAGCGGGGTTTAAAAAGATGCATCCTATGCACTATGTAAACAAAACCCATAATTTCTTTTGCTTGTGTAACACTTACTCAGTTCCCATTGTAATTAAGTAAATTTGGAATTTTTCTTCAGCTGGAAAAAGAACTTACATATGAGAAACTAATAGATTGGATCAATCCTGAAATGATGGACTCTACAAAAGTGAGGGTGTCTTTACCCAGATTTAAACTGGAAGAAGATTATGATCTGAAACCTGTTTTAAGCAGCATGGGAATGACTGATGCATTTGAGTTGGGCAAGGCAGACTTTTCAGGAATCTCACCTGGCGATAATCAGCTGGTGCTGTCTGAAGTGGTTCACAAAGCCTTTGTGGAAGTCAATGAAGAAGGCACTGAAGCAGCTGCTGCCACAGGTGCAGTGATGATGATGCGCTGTGCATTGATAGTTCCAGAATTCTGTGCTGATCATCCCTTCCTCTTCTTCATCCGGCACAACAAAACTTCCAGCATTTTGTTCTGTGGCAGATTTTGCTGTCCGTGAAGAGGAGATGTCATGGCAGCACATGTGTTATCAAACAATAAATTTACATTTCCCTAGAACAAGGTGATTCCTTCTGCACTAATTGTCTCTTTCAGCTGTTCCTGCTCCCTCTTCCGTGATATTGGTTCTTAGGCTTGGCCGGAATAACAGATGTGCTTAGACAAACAGAGCACCTGCCATGTCCTGCCCCGCCTGTGCCTGTGTGCAGAGGTCTCCAGGTTCTTGCTGACACAAGAGCCATCCCATTTTCTCTGTGAGCGCTTCTTCTGTGCTTGACTTCACTTTTGGTGTCCATCAGGCAGAGTCAGGCAGTGAGAGCCCATTGGAAGGAAGTAGTTACTTTAGCTTGTGACAAGGCTGGAGCACATGTGTAGCTTCCTTCCCCTTTTATCTTCCAGACTCATCCATTTAGTGCCTTGATACATTGCCTGGAACTGAAAGGAGTTTTAGGCAGCCTGTTCTAGGTATTACTCAACATTTTGTGTAGATGTGGGGTTTTGGCTAACAACTGGACCAGCTCTTGGGCAAGAACGGGAATGAAAGTATACTTTTGTTCCACATGTCACTAAGAGGTATTTGTGGGACGAGTACCTTTGTTTCATCATCCCAGGACAGCTGGGTTTATTCCCTGTCACCTCAATCTGGCCCTTTAACAAAGAATGTACCACACACGGCCACATGGTGCCTATGCAATAATTGAAGGAGCACTTCTTAACTTCAATTATTTTCTCTTGCTACTGTTATATGCTTATCCTATTGATATTTACTTAGATACCACAGTTTACCTGTAGCACACCAAAGTCAGAGGTGCAGCAGCTTTCCTTACGTTGGGCAGTGTTTTGTGGGTCCTGTTCCTGGAATAATAAAAGAAGTGTAAGCCCTGCATGCGTCTCTTTCTCCTTTTTCAGTGCTAAATGGCACACGTACGTGCCAGGCTGTGGCAGGAGGAGAAGCGTTCTGGCGGAGCCCAGCGCGGTTGGTGCCGCCGGCCGGGCAGGGACGCGGCCGAACGGCCTCGGCTGCTCTGGGGCTGCGGGCTGGGAGGGGACCGGGGCGGCCTCCGGGCTTTCCCCGCCCGCGGGGCATCCCACGGGAACGGGCGGTATCGGCGTGGAACGCCGGGATGGTTCCTCGTCCGACGCAATCGCAGCGCTCCTCGGGCAGCGGGGGTGCGGCTGTAAAGCGGTTTGGGTGCGGGGCTCGCACGGGTGCTGGAGGGAAAGGAAAGTGAAGGCACCGCTGGGCTGTTGCTTTAGATGCTGGCTCGGGAGGTGCCGGTGTTTCCTTCGGCTCAGAGCTCGATAAAAGCTCTGATAAAAGACCTTTGCAGAGCTGCCGTGCCGACGTGTGACTGACGGAGGGAGCTGACACTGATATTTGGAATTTCTGTGGGAGGGCAGTGCAGGGAATCGTAAATTCTGCTGCACACTCCTCCCCGTATTTGAGTCTAAAAGGAAGCAGCGAATCTTCCAGTTCAGCTTTAAGAAGTAGTGTGGGGAAAGCTGCAGTGTGAGTGAAATGTGTAGGGCATGCAGTGTCTGTGAGTCTGGAGAACTTTAATGTGGATATGCCAGCACAAAGCCTTCCAATCTGTCGATATATTGCAATGCATATTTTTTTTAAATATACTGGCATTAACTTGGAGTGAGGAGTAAGGTTGGGATAGATGATTAATGTGGGGAAGAAATACCCTATTACAATGTGACTGATTTTGTGTGGTTTGGTTGGGGTTTTTTATTTATTTGGGGAATTTTTGTTGGCCTTTTTTTTTCAGTGTGGTTGTGGGTGTTTTTTTCGGACTTTTTTTTTGCGGTTAGAGTATATTGCAGTGACGGTGATATTTCGCTAGTTCTCTTGCTTTTAGACAAAGTCATTCTGCTGGCTTCTCCCAGCCTGACTGGCAGGTTTAAAACCCAGCGTGCACATGCAGAAGCAAGCTGCAGGTCTTGAATTTCTGCAGACTTCCAGAAGGTAAGAGTTGGCAATTCTGCTGTTCTGATGTCTAACTTTGGTCCAATAAAGGAGGATTCTTTTTTGTGTGAAGTCAAGAGAAACTTCTTTCAGGAAGTCCTGAACACTATGCTGTTGTGCCTGATCACTTCAAAAGATGTCACACTGTGTAGGTATGGGAGTGAAATCCAGTAGCAGACTCTAAATGGGTAAAATTACTCAAATGTGTAGTATGGGATCTCAGGTGCTTGAGGCACCAAATCATCCTCCAGTGAGCTGATAATTTCCCAACCTTTGCTGCCTAGTTTATTCTGGGAAGTTTAAAAGAAAGAAACTGCTGATTTGTATTCAAATAAATTTGATCCATTCTCATTCTGTGTTTTATGTCCCAGGCTGGGGAGTATGGAAAGCCTCTGTGCAGCAAACAGCACTTTTGCTGTGGACCTCTTAAGAAAGCTGTGTTGTGAGAAGAAAAGTGGGCAGAATGTGTTCTTTTCACCATTTAGTATTTCTTCTGCTTTGGCTATGGTTTTGCTGGGTTCCAGAGGTAGCACTGAAGCCCAAATAAGCAAGGTAGGTCAAAATGAACTTGGTGGATTGCATTTGAGGGGATCATATGAGGAACAGATGTGTCTTTTGGAGTGTGACATGCACTTGTGCTAAACTGTGATTTAGCACAGTGTGATTTAAACTGTGAGAGAGCAGAGCTCTTCCTCTGGGGTGTGTGTGTAAACAGAACCTGTTTTCTTTGGGTTTTTGTTTTGTTTTGTTTTGTTTTGTTTTTTGTGTGTGAGCTTTGTTCAGTATGAAATGAAGAGGTATCTGGATTTAGTTTGTGCAGGTTTTTTGGTGGTTTTTGAGACTGATCTTCTGTTTTATGTAATTAGGATGTTCTGGAGTTTCTTTTAATTATCAATAGGTGGCTACATCAATTATTTTCTTTTCCTTCCTTGCTTGGGCTTAAAATCATATGATACATGTTCTAAAAATGAATTCAGGTACATAAAACTGTATTTAAAATCCCAGTGCATATATTTCACACTGGTGACTGCAACTTGACTTATTCCTTTTTATGAATTTGCTCAGGTAGCATATATCTCTTGGCTCATGTTCTGTGTAGGAAGTGACTGTATTGAGTGCAGGAGCAGTCATTTTGGGTTGGATGTTTGCTTCCTTTGCAAAGTTGGGGAGGAGTATAAACTCAGATCTTGTTTTCATGTACTTTATAAAAATTTCTCCAAAACCTATGTTGTTGTCATAGTTGTAAATACTCAAAATCCATCTGGACAAAGTCTGAGCTACCAGCTCTAGGTGTCCCTGCTTGGGCAGGGCTTTGTAGCAGATTGTCCCCACAGGTCCCTTCCCACCAGAGCCATTCTGAGATCCTGTAGTGCTTGGCTTGAGGGAAGGAAAATCAGGACTTGTTACTCTGCTGCTCCATAATCTATGACTTGTGCAACATCTTGCTGGTTACATCAGATGTGCCTGGCATGATAAGCTCCAGATGTGGGAGGTGTGGTGACAAAATCTTGTGGCTTCAAGTCACAGTATTTAACTTAAATGCAATTTTAATATAAAATCAATCAAGCCATAGCAAGTGTGTTTAGAGCAGTTATGGACACTGCTGTGGATGTTGTCTTTGTGCAGGTGCTTTCTCTGAACAATGCCCAGGATGCTCACAATGGGTATCAATCCCTCCTCTCTGAAATTAATGATCCCAACACCAAATACATCCTGAGAACTGCGAACTGGCTCTATGGAGAAAAGACCTTTGAGTTTCTTCCAGTAAGTAGCCATTAAATTTGTTGTGGTTGCTAGGATAATGTGCTTGGTACCTCTGTCCTCTGGAGGTTAAGGCAGGCTTTGGGGTTTGCCTTCCAGATTTTCTGGGCTGAGAGCCAGGAGTGCAATTGATTTTGACAGAGCTCAATGTCTGATCATAGCGGAGAATCTCCTTTAAATAATTTCTGTTCTGAGTGGAAAAGTAAAGCCAAGCAGAGTAAAACCCATCATTCTCTACCCTTGATGGTTCTGCGACCCGTTTATATATTTGGTTGTGGGACAAATGGTTGATACATCTCTTAGCAAAAGTTATATATAGAAATTTATAAAATCATGTCAGGTCCCAGAAGCAGAAAATAAAAAGAAGGAAAACACCACCGTCCGTTATTGTCAATGAAGTGTAGCAGTTTATAGTTGAGTGCATAAGTCATATCACTAATATCAATTGCTAGTTTAAAGAAGGGGTATAAATCCTAGTAGGAACTTTTCAGTGAGAATTTAATGGCTATATATGAAGCTGTGGCAGGGAAGCTGGCAGATTTCCTCGGAGAACGTAAGAATCATCTGTGTCTGAATGAGAGTAAATCTCTTGCTGAAAATCTGTTGTGGATGTCCCTGTTAGTCTTTTATAGAGTCCAGTCAGAAATCCTACCATGCTGGCCTGGAAGAGATGGACTTTCTGCATGCTTGGGAGGATTCCAGGAAGCAAATCAATGGCTGGGTAGAGGAAAGGACTGAGGGTGAGTGCTTTTCCAAGTGCCCAGTTGTGTTTAATGGCAGCCATTGTTTGTGTAAACAGCAAGTTCAGGATATAGGTTTTGAATTTAAACAGCTCAAATGCTGAGCTGTTGCTGTGTCCGGTAGATATTTCTCTTCACTATTGTGTATTAATTGCAGAGTAGATACTGTATTGGATAATAATTAGATCCGTGTCAGCCTATAAAATAATGTGGTATTTTTGTTTGCATGATAAAGGTAAAATTCAGAACCTGTTGGCAGAGGGGATTCTGAATTCTCTGACCAGGCTTGTGTTGGTGAATGCCATCTATTTCAAAGGCAACTGGGAAAAGGCGTTCAGGAAAGAGAGTACCCGAGAATGCCAATTCCAAATTAATAAGGTATGATGTGATAAAACGCTGACGATTTTTGATGAGATTCTCTGAACTTTAATTACAAGGACCTTTCATATAGCACAGAGACAGGTGTGAAAGTTCATGAATTTAAGTCTTCTTCAGTCAGAGCTTCCTTTCTGCATTTCTGCCCCTGAGCCAATCCAAAGGAAATGGAAAACAAATTTCTTTGACAATCTGCTCTGCAGTCTTGATTTTAGAAGTTGGTCTGTGCTCTTGAGGAGGACTTGGCCCCTGTCATGGGCATGCCATGGCTGCCCCTCAGGATCCCCTGCAGCCCTGGGTTGGCCTCCAGGAGTCAATAAGTGGTAAATGTGCCTTCCTTAACTCACCTGCTTGAAGCAACCATTGTGGAAAATGGAAGCTCGCATGCCTATCTGGAATCTGTCCCTCCCCACAGTGGTGAAATAAATCCAAAAACGTTTGAAAGTGCTGATACAACTTTTAAATAAGGGAATATTGATGCTTGCCCCAAGACTAGCTCTGACAGCATTTCAGAGACTGCTGGATTGATTCAGTTCCTGACACCTTGGTCTCTACCTGTTGGAATGTGGAATGCAGGCAGGAGTATCCAGAGGCACTGTTGCATTTTCTATTCCCTGCAGCTGTGCAAGCTTAGAAGCAGGTTTCAAGATGCAACACCACCAGGATAAATGGCTGATGAGCCTATATAGGCTCCTTTTGAGTTGTTATGGACTATCATGCACTGTTTGTACCTCATGTTCAGACATGTACCTTTCCAAAAGGCAGTGGTAGGGCTGCACTCTGTGGTGTGTGATCAGTTTTCCTTGGTAAAATCCTAAAAGGCCCAAAGTAACTTGCTGCCTGCTTTGTAGTTTGAGACTGGCAGAGAAGCTCAGCACTCACTGTTGACATCTCTTCATTTCTAGAATGAGACCAGGCCTGTGCAGATGATGTTCAAGGAGGCAAATTTTAACATGACCTACATTGGAGACTTTCAGACCAAAATCCTTGAGCTCCCATATGTGGGTAATGAACTGAGCATGATCATCCTGCTCCCCGATGCAATCCAGGATGGATCCACAGGCTTGGAAAGAGTAAGCTGTTGAGCTGAGTGCAAAGACAGCCTGAATCCTTCCAGGGAAGAAAGTGTGAATAGCACAGAGACGTGCAGTTCAGTTCCAGAGCAATTGTGTGGCTGGTGCTCAAGGCCAGCAGAAATGTCCCTCTGCTCCCTGTCCCCAAGGTGACAGCCCCTGCTATGTCAGTGCTGCTCAGGCTGTGTGCTGCTCCCTTAGGCAGAGGCTCTGGAAGATGAGCTGGCCCTGCTCAGGAGCAGAGGTCAGCTGTGGTTGTGGTGAAGGCAAAGTATGGTGATGATGGAATGTGGAGAGGGGGATTTTGGGTGGGCTCTTTGGAAGTCCTGTGGCTTGTCCTGTAGGTCTTCTGTGCTGAGCAGCTGGCAGCTGGTGTGTGGCACACTGCCTGGAAAGAGGCTCTCAGGAAAGGGTAGAATCTCTTTTGGGGTGAGGGTAGGATACAATTTGGGCTCTTTGGCACTCTTGACCTCGAGTTCCTTACTAAGCTTTTGTGTACCTTTTATTATTCTCATATTAAAAATTAACACCCCCACAGTCTTCATGCTTAATTCATGGAAAAAAGAAGATGCATGTTATGTGCTATGTGAAGAAACACAGAGACATCACTTCTTTGGCTATGTAATGTTGACACAATTGTAGCGGTAATTAATTATATTTTGTGTTTTTCTTCAGCTGGAAAGAGAACTTACATATGAGAACTTGATGGATTTGATCAGTCCTAAAATGATGAGGTCTAGAAAAGTGAGGGTGTCTTTACCCAGATTTAAACTGGAAGAAGATTATTATCTGAAACCTATTTTAAGAAGCATGGGAATGCCTGATGCATTTGAGTTGGGCAAGGCAGACTTTTCAGGAATCTCACCTGGCGATAACCAGCTGGTGCTGTCTGAAGTGGTTCACAAAGCCTTTGTGGAAGTCAATGAAGAAGGCACTGAAGCAGCTGCTGCTACAGCTGTAGTGAAGATGGCTCTTTGTGCAAGTATAGTTCCAAAATTCATTGCTGATCATCCCTTCCTCTTCTTCATCCGGCACAACAAAACTTCCAGCATTTTGTTCTGTGGCAGATTTTGCTGTCCGTGAAGAGGAGATGTCGTGGCAGCACATGTATTATCAAACAATAAATTTACATTTCCCTAGAACAAGGTGATTCCTTCTGCACTAATTGTCTCTTTCAGCTGTTCCTGCTCCCTCTTCCGTGATATTGGTTCTTGGGATTGCCAGGAATAACAGATGTGCTTAGACAAACAGAGCACCTGCCATGTCCTGCCCCACCTGTGCCTGTGTGCAGAGGTCTCCAGGTTCTTGCTGGCATAAGAGCCATCCCATTTTCTCTGTGAGCGCTTCTTTTGTGCTTGACTTCATTTTTGGTGTCCATCAGGCAGAGTCAGGCAGTGAGAGCCCATTTGGAGGGAAGTAGTTACTTTAGCTTGTGACAAGGCTGGAGCACATGTGTAGCTTCCTTCCCCTCTTATCTTCCAGACTCATTGATTTAGTGCCTTGATACATTGCCAGGAGCTGAAAGGAGTCTTTGGCAGCCTTTTCTAAGTATTGCTGAGCTTGTTGCGTAGATGTGGAGTTTTGGCTAACAACTGGACCAGAACTTAGGAAAGAGCTGTTTTGAAGCAGATGTCCTTCGAGGGTGTTTATGGTGAGAACAATCACCACAGGAGATCTTGAGTTTTTTTATCTTTCACCTGGTTCTAGTCCTTTAACAGGAATGTAGTCTAACTTAAGAATACCAAAGACAAAGCTGAAACAGCTTTCCTGACATGGGGATGTTTTTTGCACTTTCTGTTTTTGAAATACTGAAAGAACTCTTAAGTGTTGTAGAGTTCTGTTTCCTTTTGCTACTATTAATAATAATTTTTTAAACTAGTTTTCTGAATAGTATTTCTTGCAATACCTGCTTCTGTGTAGCTTGTTTGGAATTCTTTGCAAAACACAAGTTTTTTCTTGATAGTTAAACCTGCAGTGCTTACTTGGGTCGCCATGAATTAGTGGTTGGCCTTGAAAGGATTTCAAGGTATTTCAAGGGATACCAAAAGAGTCCCTAGATAATGATTTTTTTTTTTTTTTTTTCTGGGCAGCACTGCAATGCTTCCTCTTGGTTTTTTTGCACAGGTTGACATCATTCCTTGGTGGACATTATCCAAAAGTTGCTAGATGGGCCTATCCTTTACTCAGTGCACAGCAACCCAGCTGTCTCAGGTGAAGCAAACAAAAGCATTATGTGCAGGGGAGAGGGATGAGACCCAGCACTTTCGTCACCAGGACACCTGCCATACACTGCAATTAAAGGGCTATGCCCCTGAAACCAATATGGGCAGTACAGTTGCGGGGGCGATGCTCTGGGAGCCAGACCGAGGACTGATGGAGAACGAAGATCATGATAAACCACAGAAAACTTCTCATGCAGGTAATTTCATTGAAATATAAAAGTTAAAAAAAAAAAGCGAAATAATTGTATAAGAGATGAGTGTAAATAGAGACACAGGGTGGGAAGGCAGAGAGCAGCCTCCCTGCGAAAGGGATGCGCTTGCCCCATGGGTCTAAAACCCCTGGATCTCTTACTGTTGGCGCAAGGTGGGGGTTGTTTAATCCCTCTTCCGAAGCTCCCTCTTCTCTCCACCGGGAAACCGGGGACACCCGGACGGGAGGGGCCGCGGGATAACACCTGCCGCCCCGCCCCGCCCCGCCCTGTCTCCCCGCCCCAGCCCCAGCCCCAGCAGGGTCCCCGCGGGTGACACCGCGGTGTCACTGCGCCGCTCGCCTCCTGCCGCTCCATCCCCTCCCAGCCCGCTCGGCGCTGCCCGCAGGTAGGCGGCCAAGCGGCCCTTGGCTGCGCCGGGGCTCCGCGGGGCTGCCCCCGGCGCATCCTACGGGAAAGGGACGGTGACGGGACGAGAAGGGGCAATTTTTCCTCTCCGCCTCAGCGGGCGGGTTCTGCGCGGGGCGGGGGGCGCTTCTCTGGCACCGGGGTGGGCACTGTCCAGCAGCTGGTTCGGGTGGAAGGCTGGCGCAGTGAGGTGCGGGTAAAGGAAAGTGAAAGTACGCCTTGGGACTTGGGTATTTTTAGGAGTGTTGGTGGTCTTTAGCCTACAGCTCGGTAAGTACGTGGCAAACTGCCGGGTGTTTGTCTGGCACGGAGGAAGCCGATAGTGATAATTTGCATTTGCTGTAGAAAGACTGTGCAGGAAACAGCCAAATTTTGGTGTAAACTCCTCCACGCGGTTGGGTCCGGAGGAGAGAAAGAAACAAACCGAGACTCCGGCTGCAGCAAGCACAGAGCAGCCGGACCGTGGGCTGGGCGGGCAGAAGGCGGGCGCAGCATCCAGCGGTGCCGCCGCTGGCCCTCGGGTGGGGTTTTGAGCCTGACCCGGCTCTTGCGCCTTTCAGCTTGCTCGTGAGCATCTCCCCAAAGCGCACCGTCAGTGTCAGCCCTGCCCCTTTGCTGTGCTGCCCTTCGCTTGTGTCCCCGGCGGTCGGTGGGTTCCCGCCGCCCCGGAACGCCGGGCTCCCTGCCCCGCTGTCCTGCGGGCGGCGGGCGGCTCCGTGCTCCTCCTGGCAGCGCAGGCGAGGCACAGCGCTGCTCTCCGCTGCTCTAAGTCACCGTGCGCGGAAGCCTCTGGCAGGCTTGGCACCGCTCAGGGGCATGGATCTGTGGCATGAAGACAGGAGGGTTACTGAGAGGTGTTTGAATGTCCCTGAGCAGATATTTTGAATGCCCTCTCTGCATTGTAAAGGAGCAGAGGGAATGCTGTAGGAGGGAGAGCCTTGGCATGTGTTTGGTCTGTGAGGATGAGGGACTTTTGCAATCCTACCATCACATATACTTCCAATTTCAGATCTCCAGGAAAATAACTTTTAAAAAATAATGTCTATAAAATTAGTATGATAAGGAGGGCTGGAACACACAATTAACATGGAAAAAATCCCCCGCTTTTTTAATGTGACTTATTTTTTTAAGAATAAGGTGCACCAGCGATGATATTCTTGCTGTTTCTGTAAGCAGCTGTGTCCAGTTTAATCCAGTCTTTACTCTGTGAGTCACACAAGGTTAGACAAAGTGTTTGAAGAATGTTTCCTGGGGTCCTTATCAACTGTTTTATTTTTCAGCTATAACCATGGAGAGCCTGTCCAATGCCAACAGTAGATTTGCAATTGATCTGCTCAGAAGGTTTAGTGAAGCCAACCCAACAGGAAATGTCTTCTTTTCTCCTGTCAGTATCTCTGCTGCTCTGGCCATGGTCCTTTTGGGGGCCAAAGGTAATACTGAAGCCCAGGTGCTGAAGGTTAGTAAAATAAAATGGTCATTAATTTTATATCTTACTTACATTAAAAGGGGTTGTGTTTTAGAGGAGGGAAGTTGAAATGAGGGTATTTTTATTGGTTCAGGACAAGATTTCTGTCATGCACACTCAGTTTTCCTCAGACTCTGCAGCTAGTTACCCTCTGCCTAGCCTGCTCCAGAGCCCTCTTCTATATTTTCTATGGCCTTTGTTGCTCATTTAATTTCAGTAGTTAATTCTTGACAGAGGAAACCAATTACGTTAGTCAGTCTCCTTTTAAATTGATCGTAAGTTCCAGCAGCAAGACTCTATGAGTTTTCATGAGACATTTTGACAAATTATTACTTTATAATACAAGATCACTAACGTATGTTGGTATTGTTCATTTGGTATGTTCATTTTCAAGAATTCTGTGTGTTTTTGTAAAAAGCACAGTAGCATTCTATAGTTTTATATCTAAAGCTATGATGATACATGGTGATACTACCTAAGTATCAGTCTCTCTCACTAACAGGTGAGATATTTTGAAGGAGCTAAGCCTGCATGGTTATCCTTACCATAGCTTTAGGATAGTTTTAAAAAGCCTCCTTATAAATTGGAAAAATGGTGCACATAAGTGTGTGCCAGTTTCCCTTGAAACCTCTGTCATGGGATGGACTCAGTCACTGTTATTTTTGCACTCTCGTTAGGCTAACACTTGTAAAAAGGTGTGTGAATCTCCTCATTGCAGTCATCCTGATGCATTTGCCTATGAATAACTTCACCTTTGTATTCTGGACTTTAGGAGGGTTGAGTGTTGCTGTGCTTGCTCAATAAAATTACTTCCCCACTACTTGTTCAAACAGACTTTGAACATATTTCATGTAATCAGATTGACAGCCCCACCTAGGATAAACCTACTGACAGCACAAATCATGCAAAAGGAACTTGGGGGGGGAAATAAATGTCTTTCAATACAGTAATCCTCAACAGGGCATGTTTCTGTACCATAATACTTCAATTATGAACACAGTGCTAATTAAAGAGGCAGTGATTAGCAATTGTCAAGAGCTGTTTGCAAGGATACAAAAATTTGTTTCCGGGATCATAATTCTATTGTAAGGCTGCCTCTGTGATGTTCTTGCTCAGCCATGCACCTGTTACAGCACAGCTTGTACTGAGGTGGTCAGCAAAGCCTGACCAAATACCTAGTGAGAGAAAGAGAAGGCTTTCCTTTGAATCCAATCACTGCTTCACAGCAGTCTTCCCTCCTGGGAAACACATGGTTTAAGTTTGAATATCAGTGCCCCTGCTTTGGTGTAGCCATCCCTGTCCATGAGGTCTGGCAGCTTCTGCTGTCATATCTTTAAGCCCTGGCCAGCCAGCTTGCCTCTGGAAGAGGAGGTACTGATAAAGAGATATTGCAATAATGCACTTGATCTTAAACCTAATACTTACTCTTACATATATATATATATATATATATATATATATATATATATATATAAAGTTTATATGAAGTGCTTATATATTTATGGAGTTATATTTTCATAAAATTATAAAGGATAATTGCTCTAAGTTTTCTTAATACCTCACCTGTGATAGTGATGATTGTGTATTCTGAAAATATACAACCCCACATGCCCTTGGGCCAAAGGGGGAACCAAGAAAGCAAGAGTCTCCATGGCGTCATCTTTCTTTTTGATCCTCACCTGGGAACGAGTTCTTGGGCCCAGTGGCCCACAGAGGAGAGGCCCCCAGAAATGCAGGCAGGACTTGGGGTTGTGATCAAGAGCTTCAGCTGTGACTGTGTATAAACCAGGATCACAACGCAAGTGGCTGACACGGGCAGCATAGCACCGAGGGACAGTTTGATTCATTCTTTGAGGTTTACAGAAGTCTCTACGCAGCTTCCAGCCTTTACTTTTCTCTTTCTTCAGCCTACCCTGCTGCATCAGGCCTACCCTCCAGATTCACTATGTGTTCTTTTAAGGCAGTATTAACAGCAGCTAGTTCACTTCTTTTTATTTCAGACGCTTCATCTTGACAAAGTTGAAGATGTTCATTCAAGATTCCAGGCTCTGACAACAGATATAAACAGAAGCGATGCTCCCTATCTCTTGCGGCTGGCCAGTCGGCTCTTTGGAGAGAAGTCCTACAGCTTTCTGCAGGTACAGTGGTGCACATCAGGATGGCCTGTGGTGGGATCTGGAGGGAAAGTGCAGCTGCTTGATTATGTATGAAGTAGAACTATTTCCAAGCCTATTTCTAAACTTTTCTGGGAAGTTGATGAAAGTGCTTCGTACTTGCAGTGTGCATTTCCATAGCTGTGAGCATCTGTGCCTCTCACCTAAATGGTGTAACACAGCAAACCCTTTTTTCTTCCTGTTCACTTCTGCTGTTCTTTTCCTCAAGAGAAGAATCACTGGTCTATGTTCTTAGTTTACAGTAACTATCATGACATCCCACTCTGTTGCACCCAGGTTTTTAGGTTGCAGCCAGTTCTGTTCCTGTTGCAATCAGCTTTTTAGGATTTTCATTGGAGTAATACCACATAATTTCAGTATTTTTGAAAACACTATTTATTTGGGAAGGGATATCCAATATGTTTTAACAACATGCCTCTTCACCAGTGAATTACAACTTTGTGTGCAAATAGGTTGATATTTTTGCCCATCTTCAGCTATTTTGGATAGTTTTGTTTTATCCTAGCTGTGTTGGAGCCTGTTTCAGGAGAATGATAGTTAAGGACTGCACACCTTCAGTAAGCACCCCATCAGCTCTAGACATGGCTGGTGTACTACGAGGCTTGCTCTAAGAGTGGGGAAAAAACCTGTTAACTTCAGAATTCCCCCAAGCAACACACTGTTTGAACCCCACCTCAGAGTTGGTGACAATCTGAGTACACCTTATCTAGCTGATAATTAGATGTTTTCTTATCTTCATGCAGTGAAAGCTATTATTATTGTTTCAAAATCTAGGATTTCCTGACTAATACACGGAAATTATATGGAGCTGACTTGGCTACAGTTGATTTTCTTCAGGCTTGTGATAAAGCTAGGAAAGAAATTAACCAGTGGGTCGAGGAGAAAACTGAAGGTAAATTACTTTTTTGTTAATAACTGGTAGTGTTTCATATCGGGAGCAGGAATGGGCTTTATTCTATGCCGTCTTTAGAACAGTTTAATTCTGTCCTGGGGTACTTATTTGATGCATGGACAGAACCAGAAATTACCTAAGCAAGGCATTTAACCAGTTCCATAAATCCTGGGAGTTTTCCATTCTGTTTTGTGCTCAAGCCATGAGTGCAGGAGAGATGCCTAAACATGGAGGTGTACTCACGAGTTGGAGAATTTGTCTTAGTCTGTCTTGGTCCATATATATACATGTTATATATATTTCTAAATTCAGTATTCTTTAATGTGGGCATTCTGTACTTCTTGTATGAGGAGTAGATGAGTTGCATGTGACAGTTTAGACTAACAATATTACATTTTCATCAAATCATTGTATATCAAAAGTTATAGTAGTGTGTATTAAGAAAAAGTTATGGTGAAATAGTGATACAGGTACTGAAATTATTACAGGAATAGATTGGTTTTATATTTGTAGTATTTCTATGGCGTCAGTTTCTCGATGTATGTTTATATGCTTACATGATTTTATTGTGACCCTTTTTTCTGCTGCCTCTGAAGGCAAAATCCCTGATCTGCTGTCTGAAGGTTCAGTTGATAGCATGACCAAGCTGGTATTGGTGAATGCTATTTATTTCAAAGCGAACTGGGCAGAGAAATTTCAAGAAGCTGACACCACTGATGCACCATTTCGCTTAAATAAGGTAATACAGATATGTCCTGGTAGGACATACCTAATGAAAAGGTATAGTTATATAGGTGGTAATGTGAAGCTTTGCTTACAGATAAAATAATTAATAAATATGAAGTATTTTAGTAATATTTTAATTATTTTTTGTGGATTTTAGTATTTTTCTGTATTCAGGAGCTAGTTTTTGTCTCACTTACTAGAAAAGCGTTAGAGACAATTCTCACGTATGGTTTAGGACCTAGCAGGGTTTCTGTCTGCAGCAGATCAGCAGCTATGAACTGTCTCTGTTTGTGATGCTAGGTAAGCAGTCTTAAAATGACAGGACATTTTGATTAGCCCCATCTTCTTGTTCTATATTCTGCTTATGTTAACAGCTTTACAAGTTACTGTATGCAGTCATCTGCTTTATGCTAAACAGAGTTGATCTTTGTTGGCTTAACATTTTCATACAGCAGTTTGACGAAACTATTTTGGTTTCTGTGATGACTGTGCTGTAGAAGCCAAAGAAGAACCAAATATAATACAAACTCATTATTTCTTCAGAAGAGATTGTTTTAAACAGGCATTCAGAAGTCTGAAAAATGCAATTTTATAATGGAGGATAAATGTTTAATAAATGCAATTTTAATTTGTCTTCTATCAGTTCTTTAAATTAGTATTCCCTTAACTGTTATTTTTCGTGCCTTTTATCCATCCAGAATGAAAAAAGGACAGTAAAAATGATGTATCAGAAAAAGAAATTTAATTTTGGATATATCCCTGAAGAGAAGATCCGTGTTTTAGAGCTGCCTTACGATGGAAGAGAACTTAGTATGATCATCCTGTTACCTGATGACACTGAAGAGGACTCCACTGGACTGCAAAAGGTGACCTATCTAAGCCAATGCAGTTGTTCAATGTTTTTAAGTTTAGCCATTCAAAATTAAAGCCTTAGTGAACCCATGTTCTCAGGGCACCAAATCTATTTGGTCTATTTTTAGACAACTCTCTACTAGTACAGCAATAAAGAATAAATGGATGTACTGCATCAGGAAGAGAAGTTGTGTTCCAATTTTGTAGCTTGTGTTCATGTGTCCTTTGCTGAACTGAATGAACCATGATGGATACTGAAAGCAGAGTTAACTGTGAGAATTATCTTGCCTTGCTTGTTTGTTTTTAATGACAGAATTAGTCTTTCAGTAGCTTTGAAAGTCTTTATTTTCTTAACCATAAAGTAGTGAGACTGTTTTCCATTAAATGAGCAGCTTCTTTGGGCTCCCTGATTATGATTTTTGTTACTTGTTTTTAATTAGGTAATTCCATTTAGTTAGATGAAACAGTAAGAAGTCTGGCTTGCTATCAGTGCATGATCTTCCCTTCTGTACATTGCAGCACGAAGTGAATGTCTGCATTACTTTGTAAAGTAAAAACTGCACTGACTTCACCTAATTTTAATAGTATTTTTTAATCTCTATTTAGCTATCAAAGATACGGTTATGTTCATTTTTGCATAGCTGCTCTACCGTCGTATAATGATCTATAAATAAAGCCTCATAAATGTTACTGAAAATGAAATACTACACTGGTGATAAGTAATGCTCTCTGTCCTTTTAATGCTAGATGGAAAAGCAACTTACCTTAGAGAAGCTCCAGGAATGGACACGGTCTGAGCATCTGTATTCCGCTGACGTTCACGTGCGTTTGCCAAAGTTTAAGCTGGAGGAATGCTATGACCTTAAATCAGATTTAGCCACTATGGGCTTGCTGGATGTGTTTGACAGTGGCAAGGCTGACCTGTCGGGAATGTCAGGGGCACATGACCTCTTCCTCTCTGCAGTTGTCCACAAGGCTTTTGTGGAAGTGAATGAGGAAGGCACGGAAGCTGCAGCTGCCACTGCTGGCATTGCTCTGCTTTGCATGGCCATAGAAGAGGATTTCAACGCTGACCATCCTTTCCTTTTCTTTATTCGCCACAACCCAACACAAAGCATACTTTTCTTGGGCAGATTTGCTTCCCCATAAAAGAAAACTTACCATTTGCAGCAGTTCCTGTTGTTGTTAATGAAAGCTTTGTTCCTGAAGAAGTTAATCCTCCTGTTGTGAGTTCCTAGTAATTTGACTGAGATTCTGCCTTTCCATTAAAACAACCCCAGAGAAAACAAGGGAGTAATTTATTTTTCTTTCTTGAGATTGACATCACCTTTAATTGAACAAGGAAAATCTTGGAGTAGAAATAAATTTTCTTGGAAGAAATGCATATCTCTTAAAGCATAGTATCAGCCTCTATGCATCCTCACATTTTCTGTGTTCACAGTTCTCCACTGCGATAATCAATCACTCCTTAATAATTCAGTCACTCCTTATGCATAAATACTAGGTTGCACTTGCAAAGCTATCCCTTCCCTAAAATACTGCTTTACAAAATAGTGTAATAAAATCGTTCTAGGGACTAGAAGGCATGTTTCAAACAGCTGGGTATACCCAGTTCTGTCATGAAATAGAAGGTCAGATAACATTTGTTTAGAGACGTCTATTTATAGGGAAAGGATTAAGCTATTTAAACAAAAGTAACCCCTTGAAGCTAGTAGCCAGAAAAATTGCAACACAGCTTTTGAATGAGAAAGAAAAAATGAGTAAGACTTTAGGTGATGTGTTTAAAGAGGATTTTTAAAATTTACAATAAATGTTAAAATGTTTAAAGGATTAGACGTTTTAGGTGCCTTTTTGAAAGTTCAGAAGCCTCCAGTGTTAGATGCTGGCCAATATTTCTGTCATTCCTGAAAGATACTTTGGCTTCCTAGAGGAGGATCTGCAAAAAATACCTGATGTTCCTCTTTATGTACAAGGATTCTACATTTACTGAGCTGACTTTCACTACCTCTTTATGCACAAACCTCTGGTAGTGTACCACAGCCTTGTTCCTGGTTGCCAGTGTAATTACACACTGTCATGTTCTGTGTTTATTTTTGGAGGTTATTTACTTGTATCTTGGGTACTGTAACCTGTACAACCTTAGCTCTGAATGGGGCACAATAGTTTATATAATTGCAAACTGCATTTGAATCTTGTCTTTAAGCAACAAATAAAAGTCTTTTACTTAAACTTTTGTTCAAAACAGCAGTTTTTTGTATGCAATTTAGTATTTCAGAGTACCAAAATAACTGTCTGAAGAGCAGAGCCACAGAAAACCACTGGTACAGCAGGTGTGACCAGCTGTCTGAAGTTGTTCAGAGTAGGTGAAAATATGGAAAACCAAATTACTCAATAGAAGAGATGATTGCATGAGCCAGCAGCTTCCCCTGGAAGTGTAAGCTGAGCTGCTTGCCCCTACAGGGAACGGGGAAAGTTGTGGTTTTTTGAAATGGCACATGAACTTGGTCTGCAATACGCGGTTGCAAAGGCTCTGGTAGGCTTGCAAAGGAGACTGTGTATTGCAGCTTGCAGATGTGAATGCAATCATCTCTGCACCAAGTGCTCCAAAAACCCAATGCCTTACAAACAAAAAGTACTAGCACAAAACCCACGCAAAAATTTGGAGCACTTTAGTGTTGAGTTTCTGGGCTTTGTTTCAGCATTTTAGCAAAAAAAGCTGCTGCTGCTGTAGACAGCAAAGCAGGGCTCAAAAACTCCATTTTAATTTAATCTTTATCTTTATTTGCACAAAAACAGTCAATGTGTGCAAGATACATGACTGAAGGCTTTTAGGGCAGCAATTACCAGGCAATCAGAAGAAAGATAAAAACTTGCATAAAAGTACAAATCAGCTTTATGAAGAGACTGATGTCTGTCTGTATTTATTGTGTTGGTATCAGCATTCAGTAACTGAACTGTAACTCAATTACATTGAGACAAGATTGGTTTTCTACAGACACGGTGCACAAAACAAAACCTCAGCAATAAGAATCTCAATAAAATCAGCTTCACATTCAACCATTTCAAAAAACCCAGCAACCCTACTGGCCAATATTCCCCTCCCATAATTTATGTCCCACAATAAGATGATTGTGTTTTTCCATAAGACTCCATGCTTTTTTTCCTGTGCTCTTGTCAGAACAAATGATTGACAAGGGCTGACTCCAGCAGAGAAAACTGGCATGCTATCTGTATTCACATTTCCAAATAATAATATGCTGCTTCAACTATCCTCTTGAGAAGGATTTTGTTTGTAGAACTACTGCATGAACACAGCCCTCACTAAGTTCAAAGCAGGGTAATTTTGAGAAGATGTCTTAACTGAGTAAAATGGTAGAAAATGTAATTTCAATGAGTTAAAGAGATACAAGATGAGAGACTGAAACATTAGAAATCTCAATATAAAATCAGGAACTTAGCCTTAGTCTTAGCAAAGCAGCATTCATAAATCTACACACACCACATAGAAAAATTCTGCTTGCAAAAATCTTTGGTTTATATCTTAGGAATGCAAAATTAAGAAGTCAGCCTGACTGCAGTTAAACTTCCTGGGAGGGAATTGGTAAATTCTTGAGCACATTGAGTACTTGAGTCCCTGTTCAAAACCAAATTTGCAACAGGCTGCTGGTTTGAGTAGACAACATATGAGTTTCTTCCAGTGAAATAGAGGATTACAGTGGCTGCATTTCCCCCCGCCCTCTCCATTTTGGCCTCTCCTAAGCAGACCAGCCTTTATATAACAAGACAAAACTCTGAGAAGTATTTGTTCACTGTGCTGTGATGAGTAATCCAGACTTTGTACTTCTGCTAACAGACTTCCTACGAAAGCCTTTTGGTTTGGATTTAAATACAAAAAAACACCACCACCCACCACCAATTGCCTGCTTTTTGTCTGATTCATACAGCTGAAATTGCTCATCCTAGGAAATACATACCATAGTGTGGATAAGGAAGACAGTTATCTCTACATTTTATGTCACCTTATACTAGAGATAAATTTACTACAGATAAATTGACATAGATGAGTTAACTCAGAGCATGTGTAGTTATACTTCTGCTGTTCTATGTTTGTACGTGTCTACACATGACCAAAATCCTCATAAAGTACATAAACCTGATCACATCTTGGAGATGGATGTTTGTCGTTGTTTACTATGATTTATTATAGAAATAAGACCAGTCCAGTTCTCTTGCACCTATTGAGATAAAAAGGTACAACTGAAATCAGAACTTGGCGTTTGGTTTGGGTTTCCTGTTTTTATTGCAGTGAACTGCTAGTTCTATCGTATTATCTTGTGGTACGATCTAAATGCGTGCTATTAGCCATATTCATTAAGAGGCCTACGCAATCCAGACTACTTAGTAACAATAAAAGACAAAAACCACAGCCAAAACCCTGGAGAGTGCAGCCTGTCTGGAAACATGCTGAACATGCAGGGTGGCTGCTGGCAATTCAGATAATGAACTCATCACAACAGCCAGAAAATATATCTTCAGGACAGGTGGGAATTCAAACAACCAGCACGTATAAACACTTATATTTTAAAATCATTTTATGGAAAATCGTATGCAGTCATTTTGGTTAAGCGTTTTTCTCTCAACATGAGAGAAAATGCTCACAGAAAAGAGAAAAAAAAATGCAGTCCAGAGGTTAAACTGAGGATTTCAACTTTTTGTGCACAGAAAAGTGGACAAGAAAAATAAAATTCAAGTAATGATTTCACATAAATATTTAGTCTAAGACAATTCCTTGCTAGCTGTATCATCCAAATTTTTATCTGTGAGAGTCAAACAAGTTAAATGCTTGAAACAATATTCATTAGGTAATTTTATTAAAAAATCCTGCAATGGAACTAATTTGGGGAATTATTTAGTTGATATTTCTGTTGTGGTTATCCATATCTCTAAAAAGGGCATGTTACTACTGGAAGAAATAACTTACATCAGTACAATTTGTTGCTCAAAGTACTGAATTCCCCAACATGGAATGACTAGGGCATGGCCTTTCTCATGATCTACATTATTTCTTAGCACAGCTTCTGTAAGAGAAAAAGAGATCGCGACATGTTGGATTTTGATGGTGTTACTTACAGCAGAAGCAATTCTTACCTGATAGAAGCCAAATTTTCTAATGACACTGCAATGTTTGGTATTTCCTTAAAGCACTACACTCTGAAAGGTAAATAAATACACCACTATACTAGCATGCAATTGTCCTTCAGTTAACTTCTCAGGGTAAACTTCAGGCAGTCAAAATCTAGAAAACAAATAAATGTGCTCTGTGATTTTTAAATTTCATTCTTTCATCTTGTTCGTTTGAACCAGTTTCACTAGGAGATTGGCTTCTGCTTGTTGAAAGCAGCATTGCCAATTCTACGTGGAGACTGCATAAATTGCTGAGAGAGGAAATGGATGTTTTTGCCTTGGGTCTGTTTTGGAGGGATGGGTGTGGGGTGAAATGTTCACCTCTGAGTGAATCTGATCCTGATGGACTTTTCAATGGAGCATGGAGTTCTTCAAAGAGAGGAGATGACTCTCTGTAAGGGGATATAAAAGAGATGCGTATCAGCAGCAGGGAGAGAGCAGCAAGCAGCCACAGTGCTGCTAATTACCACAGAGAGGAAGGGAAAAGGTAGATAGTACTTGGCTTGGAGAGCAGCCATGTGGCACAATGGCTTTGAAACATTAACTTCTTGTTACCAGTATTTTGGTAGCCCATTAAACAGCACTGTCTGATGGATCTGCCCTGTGGGGCATGATTTGTGGTTCCATTGGAGGCTGAGGAATGAAGCACCACCTCTGAACCCTTTGCCAACCTGTGCTACCCTCTGAAGGTGAGCACATGCTGGTCCAGCATCAGAAAAAATCACACCTTGCTTTATTCCTCCAAAGGCATTTCAGAGGACCATCAGGATAAAAATATTAATCTAATTAATTAAGCTTAATTCATGCAACAAGAAAGTTCCAACCAACTACAACAAAGTGAATTGAGTTAAAAAGAAAAGCACGCAAATGTATGTAAATGAAGCTTATTTAAATACTTGTCTTTAGAACAACACTTTACTCAAAGAATTCAGAAACTACTTAAGATAGGAGAACATAGAAAAGTTTAAAGAATATGATTCAAACCCTCTAACAGTACACAATCATGCAAAAGGTTCAATTTCTGAAACATTTCAGTTACACCAGGATCTTTGGCTTGATCCTTACATCACACAGAAATTTGTATGAAGGGAGTCTCATAACAAAATTAATCTCCAATACAAATCACAAAGTTTTGGAGGCTGTATATCCAAAACTTTTGATCAAGGCCAATGGTCAGCAATCTGTCATGAGAATTAAGAGCATAAGCAGAATAAAATTGGCTTCTGGACTTGGCACTGCATTCTCAGCCCACAGACCTCCTGGCTTGTGAACGCTGCTCTGAATGAGCTCCAGATGAGGGGCTGTGGCAACTCCTCTGATCTAAGCCCCACACTGCACAAATCCCCACACAGCACAAATACCTCTGCTGTCAAGAAATACCCACTTGCTACTGGTGTGCTCCAGACAGCTGGAGCAGGTGGTTGGGTCATATCACAGCTGGAGAGAGGTGCAAAGAGCTCAGTATCACTCCAGTGGCCTTTCGTGACTACTGTGCTTAACAAAATGAATTAAACTTGTTCTGGAAAGTAGGGATAATAAAATTAAAGGGATATCAAACTTTCAAAACCACAATGCTGTCATAGGAGTATTTAAACAAATACATAAACACTATTTGTAACAGCTTTATTGGTTTAATAACTGTCGTACAAAATTGGTCTCTGAAACATCATAAGAACAAAAATTACTCAATTAATAATTACTTACTGTAATTATATTTTGTACAGTATTTTAGGAGGGGGTACAATTTACTATTTTTTTCTGGAAAACAGTATTCTCAAAATCTGAAACAGACACTTAAAAAGCAGCACAGTAATATTTCTTGTCTCACGGTAAGAGCCAGAAACACAAGTCTCTTGTTTTTTCTTAATTTCATTTAAACCACTGACAGCACTTATATGGATAAAGCTTATTTTTGCATTTCTACACTGCCTAACTGCAATTCTTTACAAAATACCTTCTGAACAACAGCAATAAAAGCAGAAAGGTAAAAAAATATCTGGAAGGCTTGGTGGCTTAAATCTTTCAACCATTGTAACAGCCAGCTGACACTGTAAGGAGAATTTTTATCCCAGTAGAAATGTATGAGTCATAAAATCAAAACCCATTCTGAGAACAGCAGTCATGTTTCTCGTTCCTTGAAGAAGTCTGTTCCTTTCAACTCTTCTGGTAGATAGTCCTGCTCCACAGGTTCCTTGTACATGGGGTTGTATTTGTAGCCTTTTCCATAGCCCAAGTTCTTCATGAGCCTTGTTGGTGCGTTTCTCAGGTGCAGAGGAACAGGGGGCAGTGGTCCCGTGTGCATCCTCAGGCATTCCTTGACGTTGCCATAAGCCCTGTAAACCTCTATAGACTTTGGGGCTCTGGCAAAGTACACTACACACTGTGCTAGAATCACCTGCAAACAACCAGAGGGAAATGTTAAATGACTTCTTTTAAGTTCTTTAGGAAAAGGTCTGCTATTCAGGTTGTTTGTACAGCATGGCAGGAACTGTGCTTCTAAACTGACCTCTGCCTGCTACTGTAATATGAACACTATTATTTAACAACATCACAGCTCCATGGTTTCCACTACTAGAAAATAATAGCTACTTTATCTGTCATATAAAAAAGCAGACAGAGGAAAATTATCTATGTTCATGTATCACATTTTAACAATAAATATGCAGTAACTTTTTATTTTAAACCACAGCATCAAGAGCTGAACATTTAAGGGCTACAATGTTCTACTGTCAAAGAAGGGGCATGCAGAATGAACAAGTAACTTAGTTTGCACTGTCCTTGCAATCTGCTTCTTTTTATAGTTACAGATAGGTTTTACAGATTGCAGAACTTTTAAATCAGTGAATTAATGAAGCATTTACCTCACACTCAGGCATTCCAATGAAGTGACAGCCTTGATAAGCAGCAACTGCTTGTGTTAAAGCCAGAGGATCTGCCAGTCCTACCAAATGGGATCAGATAAAAGCAGGCTAAAATCAATTTACTTTACTTAATAACTTTTTTTTTTTAAAAACTTTTTTTTTTTCCTTTTCTGTAAGGTATCCATGCACATTTTAGAGCTGCTTTCTCAGATATTGGAATTCCTGGTACAATACCACTCCATACATAAGATACACCCCCTCTATCCACAAGCTTTCCTCCTGGATATGATTTAGACTGAATCTGCTGCCACACAGTGGCAGCCTGAGCAGTAACTGACCACATATGATTCTCCTATTTTTTGAAATTAATTAAAAAAGAAATGGGGAAATATTGCTATACAGACATAGCTTCCCCAGGTCTCCTAACTCTTCACCCATCACATACGTGCTAAAAGTGTTGCTGGATCTGCTACTTTTGATAAGTAAATAAAGATGCCTTACAGCCATCAAACCTGAGGTTTGCAGGTCAGGGTAGGTATTCATGTGCCAGACTTCTCAGAAAATCAGACATTCCTAAAATACACACTCTGTTGGCACAAGTTTACTGGTGACCTACAACCAGCAGGTTTTAAAAGAATCCATATTAATACACACCAACCCTGATCTCAAAAACATTTGTCTTTCCTGAAACAGGTAATCATCACAGTGACACCTCATGTAGGTCTCTGCCTGCATGCATTTCAGTATTTTGTACCTATTCTGCATATAACTGTTTTGGGTTTGTTTGTTTCTCAAAAGGCAACTTTTAGAAACCAGAGAAGCCTGGCTTCATTCAACGTGGTATTCCAATGTGAAATACTGCAAATACTGACCTATATCCTCACTTGCAAACCTCACCAGCCTCCTTGCCACATAGAGTGGATCCTCACCGCCCTCAAGCATTCGAGCAAGCCAGTAAAGGGAGGCGTTTTCATCAGAGCCTCTCATAGACTTGTGCAGGGCAGAGATGCAGTTGTAATGTTCTTCTCCTGTTTAGGATGGGGGAGAAGCAATACACAAAGCTGTTAAGAGGAAATGAAGTGAAATGCATTTTAAGGGAACAGAATATATCTTACGAGATCACATCAGTAAACAAAAGCTGCTTTTTCAGGTTCTTTTTATGGGTATGTGGTTACAGCATTCATTAATGTTTTCAGTGCCTCCATGGTTTCCCATGTGAATCATTCCCTAATTACATAAGCAAAACAGAGAACAGAGCAACTTCTGATGAAAAGGAAGTTGTTTTGTTTTTTTGTTTTTTTTAAACACTGCTAGGCAAACAATTTGGGTTTTGTAACCTAACTGCCTTCCCTTCAGAAAAGAAAAAAAAAAAAAAAAGATAACCCCAGATACTTCAAACAGTTAGGAAGAAAACTCTACATAAGTAGCTTATAACTGCCAGAAAGTACAAGCACATACAAATAACTGATCATTGCTTTTGGACACACACAGAGCTCTGAGAAGACAACACAAGAATCAGACAAATCCAGTGATACAGGTTATTACTGGACACAGTGATACTGTAGTGTTATTTTAGAAAAAAGACATTTCACATCATCTAAAACTTGAAAATAAAGTGCACAGTAAAACACAAGTTTGATATGCTGTATAGGGGTGAGAAAAAAGGAAATACCATGGATATACAATGATGGAACATCATACAATTTGGAAAATACAGAATTGCAGTGCATTACCCTGGCAAACCCCTAAGAAATGCTGAATTCAGCTGTGAACACCTGCACTACTGCAACAACACTTGAAACGCCAGACTGTTAAGTAAAAAGTGGGAAGACTGAAAGAAATACAAGAATTTTTTTTTATATTAAAGCTTAATATATGATTAGATTTTAAATCCAAGGAGAAACAAAGCTATTCCACAGATCTTCTAAGGCTACACTTAAAAACAGGGAGTCAGCATTACAAACACTGAATGAGAACCTTTCCTGCTTACAATTTTCCTCTGTGCAACTGGTTTTGATTCTTATGCATGTGTTTTAATCAAAATTGTAAGGGTATTTTGCTGCAATATTTTTAAACTTTCCATGTTATCTGCCTTTTTTATTTTTTCAAGTGCCTGGCATTCCTTGGCTCACAGCTAAGTATGTATTTTAAAGGCAACTGGCTGCATGCACAGCCATCTGTTAGTATTCCTCTTCTTCCTAGGGCTAAAAGGATTTACAGCCTGAGGGCCACATCAGAACACACCAGTCACTTGTAGGCCCTGAAAAATAAAAGGGCTGCCTGAGTGAGTTGGAGAACTAAAATCTTCACAGTGCTGCAGTTGCTCCTTTGGTAGACAGCAAGATCTCCACCTCCCAGGTCCACTGCCCCCATCTCTGCTCCTGCCGGGGTGTGATTCCCTGGGGAATTCAGCACGAGATGCCGGCAGCGCAGGCAGTCAGACAGCTATTTTCGCTAGGACTCCACACAAAGAGCCCTGGTATGCAGCCCTCACTCGAGCCAACACAAACAGCACGTACCATGCTCCATCATAACACTTGAGGCAGGAGCAATAACTCCAAGCAGCTGAACTCGCATCATCCTCTTGCAAGAGGCGTCTCTCGGTCTCTTAAAAGTAAGGAAGATGGCCTTTAAATATCTCCAGAGGTTGCACTCACCCAGATTTTTCTGCTGGAGGCTTTTATATGCTGCTTGGGCTACTGTAAAGTGTTATATGTGGGGATACAGCTAGAGAGGCAGAAGGAATCCAGCAGATAGGTTTGGTCTAGATATATACACCTGCAGGGAACTTCAGACTTCAGGCTGAGAAGGGAATTAGTTTTCGCCTTTTATTTCCTTCCTTACAAAGTTAGTGTTGGTGAAAGGGCTACAATGACAATACTTATACATCAGTATAATCACATTGCATTGTCAATTAAAGACAAAATACAGTGATGTGCACTGGAGAGAGATCTTACATTTCTGTCTAAAAATACAGTTTATAGATAGCCTGAGATACCAAAAGCAGTTTCAAAAAAACTAGAACCTTTAGTAGACCTTTATTTATTAGCCTTCTTATGCTGGTTAGCTGACATACAGGTTTGGGCCTTATCAATTCAGTTGAGAGACAGACACATACCAGTTTATCTATCTCTGCTGTATTCCAGGTGCCTCCTGAATTCAAAACTATGAAGAGTTTTTGAAATCAAAATAAATTTTGATTTAAATGCTGTTCCCACAAAGGCAAATACCTTTTGAAACAAGATACTATACAAGAGGCTTTGTAGAAGAGATGGCTTTCTAGTGTCTGACATATACAGATACAAGAATCTTGTTGACATATGCCCAGAGTTGCTTTACATGCTCATGAGGAGTTTTCAGGCTAGTTTAAGATTCTGATTTATCTCAAGTCATACGGGTAGAAGATAGGGAAAAGGTCTTGTTCACTGACCATAATTAACATTTGCGCTTCTTAAACAATTCCTATTCACAAAGCAGTGGGCAAAGCTAAAATCAGTCCCCATCTCAAATTATTTTCTATCTTAGCCAAAGGTAAACATCAAACTGCTCATTGATAAAGGAAAGAAGAAAGCCTTGGAAGTAAGACTAGACCAACAGCATAGATAAAAAGACTTCTCATTCTGATCCAGCAGAATAAAACTGAGCTGGTGTGAGTGTGGTGATTTAACACCAGTTGGGAATCCAACTCCAAATAAGCCACTCCCCTACTCCAGCAATGATGCGCATGGTATGGAATAGCAACTTATTCCTGCCCACAAGGCTCTAAGCTCTGCCCTGACAGCAAACCCAGGACAGTGAGATACCTTCTCTTTTCTCCTCCAGAGAATGTAAAGGAAAAAAACTCCGTTCCAGACTGCAGTATAAATTAACTTCAGCAAAATGCATTCCCAGTCTTTACCATACATGAAATTATGTCATCTCACAGACAGTGAAATTACTGACATTTACCTTATTAAATCAGTGTTGGCAGAGTGACACAATCTGTAAAAGGAAGGGGCAACAATACAACGCTAAAAGTACTAGTCACTGCCCATCTGCTGGTAAACTTTAAGGAATTTGGTTTCTGCATCATTTTTCTAAAAGGATCAAAACTTAGCAACTGCAATTAAAAGCTAAAATATGACTAATAGTTTTTGTTTCCTTCTAACTGCAAGGGCTTCAGGCAGCTGCTGGAAGTGAAATTTGATTAAAGTTGTTTGTTTGTCCTTCCAACTAAAATGCATAAACTATCTGCACAAAGACTTTATGTGTCTGCACACAGATTAGAACAACGGCCTAACAACTGCATTATGAATGATTTCTTTCCTAGATTACTTACTGAAAATACAGAAGAGAATGCTGAACTATACGTATTTGGCAAATTTTGCAGAAGGTAACAAAAAATCATGTAAAAAGTCCATATTTACACTCTGAACACTAATCAATTATTTGGTGCTTTCTACATGAACATGCAACATATGTATGTTGCTGCTATCACGATTAGACCCTCCACTTTAAAAGACATAAGACAAAAAGCATTTTATTTTAGAGGACTGTAGATCCCACCATCACAGCTGTGACTCAAAATGTGTTAGATAAAACATGCTACCAAGAAAAAAAAATTATATGCAGTAGCCACCATCTGAAAGTCCTTTGTATTTAAAGAGGACAAACAACTACCTCTACTGTGGACAAAAGCAGTCAACCTGCAGTCAACAGTCAGTGGTCAACATAGACTATTCCAAAGAAGAGAGAAATTCTGAAAAGGCACATACTCGGGCAACCTGCTACTGTGACAATATTTGTGTCAGGCTTTCTGGCATTTATACAATCCAGAAAAACAGAGTTTTCACTGCTCTCACCATTCTGAAAATCTCTGACCAAAAAACGCACAATAAACCGCAACAAAAATTTCTGTACCAGTGAAGGGCCTGACACGTGCTACTCAGACTTTGTGCAAGCCTCAGGAAGAGGCACTCTGTGCCATCTCTACCAGAGCAAGAAGGTGCAGGAGGGCTGGGAGCAACGGACCCAGCCAAGAGTTCTGTGTGACAGTGGCCACAAGGCGACAGCAAACACACAAGGGACCTACACGGTGCAAGAGACTCGTACCAGTGAACCAATCAGATTTTCCACTTCCTTCTAATCACGACCTCTTTCTGCCACAGACCTCATAAAATTTTTTTTCTCCCTCCCCCTGCCTGCCCTCGACTTCTCAGCTGCCATTAGATCAGTATCTGCCCAGCTGCCTTTCTCCTGACAGTGAGTCATCATTATTTCTTTGTAGCAAGAAGGCTGCAAGCGGGCATAAGTTACAACCAACCTCAAGAAACCTCTCATCACAGGTTTTGAACAGTGGCAGTTAAAAACACATATCAGAAACAGTGGCAAAGAAAAAAAAAAAGAAAATAAATCAGTTCTCCAAATGCTGCTTGGCATAATAATTTCATACTATTCTGCACAGCCATTCAAGTGTTGCTGAAGAACTAGCATATGCATTCAAGTGGATTCATCTAATCTGATACTCACTGATTTTTAACCCTCTAACATAAAATGGTTTAGTGGCCAAATACTGTGATGCCTAAGACTGCCAAGTCACAAATTTAGCAAGAGTAGTTATCACACTAGGAAGCATTAAGTGCAATACGATTTATGTGGCCTGCCCTAAGCGAGCTACAGAATTCATTACCTTAAAAAGCAACTCTAAAAATAAAGCAAACTACTCAGGTTTTGACATAACATATTGCTATGGATGTGAGCACTTCCAAGACTTTCAAGGCAGCAGAAGTGCATTGGAAGATATCCACCCCTTCAAGAAAAATGTTGCCATAAAATTCTTCTGCCCCTTTCACTGAAACCCTCATAGACCTTAAACAACAAATAATTTCACCATGCAACTAACTGGTCTCAGGACAGCAAATAGGTATTTCAGCTAATCTACACTTCCTGGCTGAGAAGGAATTTGCAGCTGAACTACACCGTAGAGGAAAAGTAACTTTTAGGACAAACTTCAGTACAACCACTGTTTCAGTTGGGTACAAAAAAGGGAGAAGAAAGAGGAATTAGAGAAGTTACCGCATTTTGAGAACACTGCATCTCAGAAATTGCATCTGATACTCACCTGCTCGGTCATACAGGATGTGAGATCGCTGGAGCCCCTCCTTTACATGTTCTTCTGTTACCAGAATGCCATCTGCAGCACCACCTTTGGCAGTGGTGTTCAAAGGAGTGGTCCTTCCCACTGCTATTCTGGCCTGAACTGCCAACTGGAGTCCGTTCAGCCCAGTCCTGGCATCCCCATCGCAAAGATAGGCAAGTGTGTTCAGAGCTTTCTCCTCTATGTACACCGGTAATCTGCAACAGAACAACCACACAGCCTTAGCCCCCATCACACTCCTCTCTCTGCTTCTTGTGCTGGAGATGACCTTTTTGATTTCTTGATACACAGCTGGGTTTAAGATTTGTCTTAACTCATCCTGCAGAGCCAGGGGCCCACCCTCTTCCTCCTGCTCCGATTCCTGCTAAATACAATTGCACACTAAAAATGTAGGGCAGGAGCTCTCATCTATTTAACCCCCTTATTTTTCCTCATCTCATTAAATTCAACAAAAACTAGGGTTAGGTTTTTACCACAGCCCAATTCTGATACAGCCAGCTGAACTTTACAAGGTTTTACTCAACCAGCATTTCACTGCTAGCACTTCAAATTCCTTGGTGGAAGAACAGTGAAAAGGTAGGAAATTATCCAAATGCAGGTGAGAGAATACAGTGAATTATAAAGTCATTACGTAACATTTTGAACTACTAACAACAAGAGGTATTATCAGTTGTTCTTCAGAAAGCAACAACTGGAAAGATTGTTTACAATGTAAAACACGTATTTTTTTGGTATTACAACTTAGTCACTGGGGTACAAAAAAAAAAATCTTACTCAAAAGAAGCTGCATCCCAATACATGTCCATCACTCTTCTTGCCATCTACCGTTCTAAGTGTGCCAGAACTATACAAACATGAAAAAGGGGAAATTCTAGTGAAATCATAATCTAAATGAACAAATCACTGAGATTAGCTCAGTTGATTGAAGCATGGTGTTGATAACATCAAGGGTTTGGTCCCTGTATGGGTCATTCACTTAAGAGCTGGACCTGATGATCCTTGTGGGTCCCCTCCAGCTCAGACTATTCATTGATTCTATGAAGATGGGAAGACCTGATAAATGCAGCAGCTCGATCTCCTGAGACTAGTGAGTCCATGAAAAATCTGTGAAACAACAGAGTGCTCAACTTTTTTCTCTAGGTTTTCACCTGCTAGGCTGCAGTTGTCATTGCTGGGACACATCCAAACCAGTTCACCTCTGCATGTTTCACAGGCACCCTGTTGAGGATTTAACCCTCAAACCTACTAAATTATGTAGACAAGGTAACATCTAAGGTGCTGCCAGGCAGAGGGTGTAATTGATCTGATTTGGAGACAGTAGCCAATGGAATTAAAACACGACATTAATGGCCCTAACTGAGCTACTTCTAGTAGCTGCACTGTAAATCAAGAGTGACAGGTATCAGCAAGGATTAGCACATAGAGCTTGGTGTGAGAGGCCATTTCTTATGAAGCTCTTGTGTGTCAAATAATTAAGGATTCACAACAGCCCTGCACTTCATTTACCAAAATATGTGTTACTATTATGACCAATGGTGTAGAAAAAGCCAGTGTCAGGGTTCCCAGACAGACATGTTCACTGATTTTCATTACTTGCCTTCTCTTCCTCCTTGCAAACCACTTTGCACTTGTCACACGAAAGAAAAAGACTGGAGGTTCAGGAAGAAGTTTAGCTGTTAATATTTGAGTTCTCTCATGGCCACACATTAAAAGGAAGAACTCGTAGAGCTGCAATCTTTAATCAACCACTATAAGTGAAAGCTGACAAATGTCTTCTAGGGGCAAATCCCAGGCTGCAGAGAATAGACAGTAGGAATCACACCCTGGCAAAAATAGATGCATCACATGCATCTTGTCATGACTTTTTTCCATCTCCTTATTTCCCAGGTATTTGATGAATCTAGTAAAAAAAAAAATTAACACACATACAGTGGCACTTTTGCCAGGGTGTTTCCAACACCATCTTTGAACACAACTGCACAGGGACTTATCCAGTCAATTATCTCAAGCATCAAATTCCTTGGAAATCAGGAAGTAACATTCATCCCTAAGCACTACATATGTGCACCAGATCTTTCATAAACATTAAATTAAAAAAGCCAGCAAGGAAAGCAAAAACCGTTTATAAAAAAACAGCACACGCTACACGCAGACATCTTGTTGCTAATACCTCCTTCAACAGAAATTATCCCAAATGTACATGCTGAGCACACACTTCTCACACACCAGCAGGGCATACTTGACAGAAGGTTTCACCTGCAAGGACTAAGCTCTTTGCCTGCTGCTTGCAGAGAAGCACACCCTGTGCTTGAGGCCTCTTCACATCAATACCACAACTGCAGGCAGTGACTGCAAGTAGAGGCAAAGCATTGAGAGCAGTAAAAGGCAGATACTACCTTGGAAGAAGCTAAATACAGTCTTTCCCAAAAAAGAGTTGAGGCCTCAGAGCATTTTTACAATTTATCTCCTAATTTAAAGCTGAGTTGTATTCCTGTCTCTTGTTTCACTATAGGACTCCAACTGCTCTGTTGACTCAACATAAGCAGTTTATATTATAGAAAGTGAAACAAACATTCACAAGAAAGTATGAAAAATCTGGTTACAAGCAATGGCCTTGTCCATTTCCATGGTGAAATTTCACTTTTAACCTAAGGGCAATGGCAATTCCAATCCAAATAATGAATTATGTATTGGCTGATCCAGTCCGTGCATGCAATAGCATGACATGTAGGATGTGATAAAGAACAAGAATAAATGGAGAAAACTTCCACATACAAGCTGTTTGCACAGCACATTGATGAGAATCACTGATTGGAAACAACACAGTGCTTCCCTATTGCATAATCTCAGCTCCATACATACTCAGTATTTAAAAATAATAAAACATTATACTCAGAAAAACTGAATTGAGTTTTTTTTTTTCAGAGTAATTAAGACCTTAAATTCTATTTTCTGATGATTTAACTTCAATAGGCAGGAGTCTAATTTCAAAGTTAGGATGGCAATTATTTCAATACCTTGGCTTCCATAAACCACTTGTGTTTTACAGTTTTAAGCCCATCTTGTCTCCAGATGCTCAAGTGCCCTACTCCCTCCAGTTTACCCAACTTCTGCACCCATCAGAACCACAAGGCAGAATAACTCCCGTGCTTTCTGACTTCTTTCCAAGTTCCCGATACGCTTGCAGATGGGCAATCCCATATTTTACTCAACTTCCAAAATTAACACCGAACACCCACTGGATGCCAATGGTCAATGTTGGTACCTTGTAACCAATGATACTTGGAGACAAAAACATAAACAAGCCAAAAGGGACGTGCTGAGGTCCATCACTCACCGGGCTGAAGGTGATATACTAGCTCAAGGAATGGAAAACTACCACTACAGGATAATAAATCCTTCTTCCAGTTCCTCTTTATCGCCATACCCTCGAGACAGTTTGTGCCAAGAACCAACATGAAATGTATGATGAACTACCCATTAAACCCACACAGCACCACTGCACTTGAGCCAATGACAAGACAATATAAGCAGTATCAGGGAGTAAATATAAGGAAGGCCAAACAAGGAGAAGCTGTGTGATCAAAGATTTAAAAAATTACTGAGCAAAACATGATAAAGCACCCACTGCTTCTTTGCCATATAAATCAGTACTTTCTTACTTTCTCAGTGCAATTATTCTCACTATGTTCACTATTTGGCAGATTCCAACACTTTTACAGGCAAACACAGTTCTTCAACTGAACTACTGCAGTGTGATATACACTGCTCACTGCCTTACAGCATTGTCTTCCAGTATTGCCTCTCACCTCAGCATCTCATTTCTTGCAAAAAAATTGAATGGATATTCCAATAAAGGAATAATTTTCAAGAAAGTTTTGAACACTGAAGATCCAAAGGAATTCCACCTTCAGTGTTGTGATTTATGAACCAGTGAATTCAAAACACGCTAGAACTTTGTAATACAGCCAGTAACAAGCTGAACTGCATGATGTCTGGGCTTGCCAACAGGAACCTGGGGTTCTTTCCATTTCCCTCAGCTGTGTGCCTTCTGTGCTATCTAGCTTCAAACACATTAATCAACCATACAGTTTACTATCTGACTTCAATTAGAGATACCATTCAGAGGGCAGCATTTGAATGACAAAAATAAAAAACCAAGAGAAGAATTTGGTTTCTTCCACCACTGACACAGCACTACTGTAATGTGTCAGTGCACACCTGGAACTGCTTGTGCTATTACTGATGCAGCATAAACTGCAGAAAGCACAATAAAAAACATTCTTAGTTGCAGCATAAAAAAATATCTTTAGCATTGACTTCTTACTTTTCTTCATTGTGATTATGTTTCTTCCTTTCCTATTTCTCCATCTTTCAGCTTCATTTACTGAAGACTTTAGAGGCACAGTTTGATGGTAGTAATGCTGATGAAAATACAACAAAAAACACATATTATCCTAAAGAAATCTAGTAATTAAATTAAAAACTGTCAAAGAATCTTTGTGAGACATAATGACACAATAAATAGAAAGATATCCAAGAAATAACACCCACTGCTAGTTGCTCCAGCTTTAGAGTAAGAAAAGGCATGGTGGAGTGAAAGAAAATCCAGGTGATCTAACCTTATCAGAAACCTGCAGCAGTAGTGGAAGCAAGATAAGAAAAATCCACAAATAAAATCTAAGGAAACAGTTTTGGGTAGAGCACACTTTCCTTGTGGAGTGCAGATGATGAAATCTATTGAATCACTTGGGGATGGCTGCATTCTTTCCAAGCACAGAAAATGCCTGTAAAGACTAAGGAAGATTCACTCCTATTCCTCAAGGTAATAGGAGAGACCACAAATAATCATCCTCTAATTCAAAATCTCTTTTAGGTAAGCCATCCTGTCAAGTGATGTGATACTAAAACCATGTGATTAACTGAGGCCAAGTAGCACATATTACACTGCTGTGGCTTGGAAAGGGAGACTCACATGGGAAATGAAACCCAAAATTCAATGTACACATCTCTTGTGCCTTCCTGCTAGATCTCTGCAGCATTTTCAAAGCCCCACCACTTGGGGCTTACAGCTCCTTTTCTCACTCTGGAATAAAGGTGAGCACCACCACCATTAACCAAATCAATTGTAATTGGTGATTTCCATTTATTCTTCAGGACAGCATGAACAGTTACTTGCCTGCATCTAATGACAGTCCTGTTCCATAGAGGCAAGCGAGTAAAAAGTTGAGACAGTTGCTCCTGCAGAGCAGTGGAGAGAAAATGAAGCAGCAGAAATAGTATGGATGCTGAAGCAAGAAGCAGGAATCAATAAGGAATCCAAACCAGAACCACAGGAGGGTGGATGGCTTATAAAAATCTGAATTATCAGCAACAGAATGTAGGAACTGTGGCCCAGCACCAGATTACAAAATTAAAGATATGAAAGACCCGATACACAACTGCAACAAAATCTCCTCAGTTCAAACCTCCATTTTTATTTTTAAAGGCTTGGCTCCCAGAACTGCCTTTGGAGTGTGGCGCTCTCTCCCCATGGGGAGAAACTGTGTTAGTCTGACAGTCTGCCTGCCAGACTTCTTTCAGTTTGATGAAGAACTGTGCTGTTTAAATCATCCATAGCTATCGTTACAGGTTACAGACATGGAGAGTCCAGCGAAACCCAAACCCAAACAACTGCAGCTGAAACTATGCCTTGTACTTTAATCCTGTACAGAAAGCAAAGACTCTGAACCCCAGTCAGGCTGTAGCCACAACCACAGCTGTGCCGCTGCATTAATGCTGACATGCAGTACTGCCTTCTCTTCTAAAATTCACATTACTACAACACATAAAAATGACAAATGAATAAACCGTAAGGCAGGGTAACCTAAAAATAAAAAAGTAATACCTTTCCTTACCTGTCCTGACCTCAGCATTCAGGCTGGCAATTCTTTGTGCTTACATTCTGTGGTAAAGTTCAAGTGGATTCCCTCTCATTTATTTCATACAGTCTGTCAATCACCACCATACCAATGCACTGTAAATTACTAGGAGCGCAGCCAAGAACCAGCACGAAGGAAGTGTAATAGCTTGCATGTGAGTACAACAGTACCATGCATTACTCTTACTTGCCAGCCTCCTGTTTCAGAAGGTGGATAACACCTCTTGTAGACAAATCTGGATGTTGTTTTTTTCCAAAACTTTCTCAAGTGTTTAATATGCATTTATCTGTCTGGACATCAAGGAGCAGAGAAAAACAAAGTCTCTCTTAAAACAATCTTTTAGCGACTCACAGCAACAGCCTCCTCTTGTCACTGGTTATCCTAAAACACAGCAGAGGACTTATCCTGAAACTAAAGAACAGATGCACCATCATCCTCCTTAATCTTACTTAAAAAAAAATATTGGAAAACAACAAACTTCTGGCAGGCACTTCCAAATTAAGAAGAGATACCCCATCCAGCACCTAATGGTAACATGATGCTTTTACAATCAGTAGCAAGAAGTAACACACATTAGGACATGACAAAGACCCAGATACAGGCTTCTACAGCAAATCCTCTGTGGCAGAACAGATTTAAATATCCTGAGAGTGTGAGTCAGGAGTTACGGATCCAAGTATAAAATTCTCTCCTAATCCAGACTGTGAGATTATGTTTTGGATGTAGAGAGCCAATGCTTTGAATTCTCTCTCTCCTGTCACCCCCGCCCCTGCCATATGCTGCCACTTCTTTTCTTTACTATCAGAAGTGGCTAGGGTTTCTCTTCCCACCCCCCAACTGCTTCATTCTCTCCCTGGCAGGCAGTCAGCTCCTCGGGCTGTGCACGTTAACACCCTGCAGCCCATAAAGTACTCACTCCGAGCTCTTGCTGCCGCTGCCAGTCGCAGGGGTGCCGTGCTGGTCACCCTGGCCCAAAACTTGGAGCCCTAAGAACCTGACAGCCCTCATCAGAATTGCCTCCATCGCTTCAGCCGAGAGCTTCTCCAGGACGATCACCCGGCACCGGCTCAGCAGCGCGGCGTTGACTTGAAAGGAAGGGTTTTCCGTGGTCGCTCCTATCAGGGTCACCGTCCCACACTCGACGTGAGGAAGGAAAGTGTCCTGAGCATGGGAGGGAAGCAGAAAAAGCTGATCTCAATCAATGACAACCTGAAACATCCCATGTGAGTAGGCTACTTTTTTTTTTTGCGTCTTGTGAGACTTTGGGTTCCCTGTTGATATGATAAATGACCACATTGACAGGGCAGTTCATCTGCATACATATGGAAATGATTTTATTTCATGCACCCAACATCTTAATAATAAATGACTGCACTGAGAAAGACCCTATCAGCTGAAAAGGAATAGGGTAAAGAAATCTGCAAATTTTGTGTTTGTGTGACTTTGGTTTATTGCATGGCAACACAAGAAATCATGAAACTGCCTTATCAAGTATAACAGTGGGGCTACTCCTAAATACACTTTGAATCAACCTTTAGGGCTACAATTCCCTGCCTAATTCTGTACTCAGAAAACTAGAGGAAGATTACAGAATAGTTCAATTTAAATACAGTAGTATTTCTGTAGTACGGAATTGAAGCTTTCCATGGTACAACTGAAAAAAATCTTATACTTAGGAATGGAAAAAGAAAAAAAGCCCAAGTGATGGCTGCAGTGTCATCCTGAAGTACTATGCCGTGACTTTTCTTCTCACACAGAAGAGAGGACAACATTAAAATAACCACCTTTGGCACATTCACATTCTAGACCTTTGTAAAGGTAATACAGAATGCTACCCCCCAGACGGAGGCTGAAATGAAGATATATGCAGCAGACATTACTAACATGACTTTGCAAAAATAAAGTCTCATAAAAATATCATATAAAAACTGGCACATAAGTATAACTCAGCCTTTTATTTAAATCCTTGAATCACAATAATTAAATGCTGGTTGGAAGTTAGCTAAGGAATTTAATTTTTACATTTCTCCCAAATTCATCTACTAAAAGTATTAACATTGAAATTAAAAGCCCAGAGGAATGTATCACCTTAAGGCAAAGTGGGAGATTTTACAGAAGTGCTGACAAAGGCTCTTTTAAAAAAGCAGTGTAGTACAATACCTGCTGAGACTTATTGAAACGATGGATCTCATCAATAAAGAGGATAGTTTTTCTCTTGAAGAGCCTTTTTTCATTCTGGGCTTGGCTGATGACATCTCGAACATCATTTGTCTTGGCACTTGTGGCTGACAGTGTCACAAACCTCATGCCATTCTTTTTGCTGCTGTTGGCTATGATGTGTGCCAGTGTAGTCTGAAACAGCAATAGGAGAAAGCTTTGTAAAAATCAATTCAGACACAAAGTACCAATTTAAAAGAAATATGTAAAGAACAAAGGTATATTTTGTACATAGGGACAGTGTTGACAGTTTACAGAGTTAAGGCATTTTAGCTCACGTTATTCTAGGGCACAGAAGACTTAAAAACTTCCTGCTAGAGGTAGCTGCCAATTCCTCTGCTGCATTTCCAATGCCTGCACTTTTACGTACCAGACCCAGTGAGCCTCAGCACTGAAAAGGACAGCACTGACAGCTGTCTCCTTTGTCACGGAAGAAGAACTCTCTGCCAAATACATTTCTGTCACAGAAGACGGGCTGACTGCAATTCCCTGTGCAGTTATTTTGTGGGGCACGTTAATGGATAAAGAGCTGGACTACCCCAAGACACCTGCCTAAGAGCTCACAGTGCAACTACATGTGAGAAATACAAAACTACAATGTTATTAACTAAACCATTTTATATTTCAAATACACATAAAAATGAAATTAATCAGACTGCAATTTCTATAAAAGCATGAGAACATTAGCATTAGAAATTTACATGACTACATAGGAAAATGTAACTCTTAAATCTAAATAGTCAACAGTAATCAAATGCTGGCCCCGGGAAGCAAAAGGCAGCTGACTGAACAAACTGGCTAGTTTTAGTAAGCAGTTATATTGTTCTTCTGTCCTTATGAACAACCTCTTCAAATCCAACTTTATTTATAATTTCACTTAGCCTACCAAAGCACAGACACAACCTCCACCAAACTCCTAGGTAGATTTACTACACTGGAACATATCACAGACATGATTTTGAGACTTTCCTTCACAGCCCTTAGTAAACACAGGTATATGCCCCAAAGAGAGTGTATCTCTATTTGAAAGTACTGCCAGAGAAAACGGGTGATTCTTCCTTCAAGCTCACTGTTTTATTAGAGAAGGATCCAAAGGAGATCGAAGACAGGAGAGCCTCAGCAGATGAGGACTGGGACAGGTGCCCACAAAACCACCTCAGAAGATATTCTAAGTGCTGAGGTTAAAGCAGCAGGTGGTGTCAACCTGATCCTCTTGCAGGGAGGCTGCAGAAACCAGCACCTACCACTTGGCTACCAACGGTGTTGCAGTACCCAGCTCTGTTCATTTAATGGATCTCCTTGTCCCTGAAACTGCAACCAGCCCAAGTTAGAAAATGGGAGGCTAAGGAGAAGGATATACTGTTGTTTATTCTTGCTTTACTTTTAGTAAGGGCTTCCTGATTGCTTTCAGAAGTGGTGTCATTTCAGGTCCTGATACAAGATTCGCATCCCATGTCTGATTCTTCCTCTCTTCCTGGAGCTCAATCCACCAGCCCATCCCCAACTTCTATCATTGCAGAGGACAAGACCGGAAAGACATTTGGAAAGTGTTTGCAGCAAAGTTGACAGATATTAGAAAGATCTGAGAAAATAAACAAATAAGCAAATTCCACCCCTACTCCACCAAAACCAAAAGAAAACTATCTTTGAAACTGAGCTACCAAGTTAAAACCAATATTCGTGTTTCTTTACAAAAGGGTCTTGATTCAGAATGTAACTTCAGAGGATATATCCATGCCTTAAAAATCTCTGAAAGCACAGAAACACCAATACATCAAATTTGGGGATGAAAAAGGAAAATGTACCTCTTCCTTCTCTAAAAGTGACAGTGGTGAGAGAGCGAAGAAAAAAAGTAAAGCAGCTACTCTTCTTGTAGCTCCACTTGGACTGGTAGCTCACATTGTACCCTGGCCATCACTCAGAGAGTTTTGTTATTTACAAAAAAAGCAGTAAGGACTTTGTTTTAAACACATGCACAGGAGTCTGTATTTCCAACTCTAATTTAGGGAAAAAAGATCAAAGAGATTTGTTTGAAAGTTACCTTTAGACCAAGAATCAACTTGAAATCTGCTGCATGGATCTCAGCCAGCAGATACCTCTCCCCCTCTGCCAACTTGTGGGTCACCAAAGGTTGCAATAAGAATAACATACATTGCCTTTCAAATGCAATGCTTGACAAGGACAGGCATGTTCACAGCCTCTTCCTTCTGTTCTGCACAATCAATCATTCAGCAAGTCAAACTGCCTATCACACAGATGTAAAACTTTCCCTGGTTCTCTGAAAGACTTCCCATGAGTTCAGGTTTTTTATACTGCTTTTTGTCCTACCATCTCATGCAAAAGTCAGCACCAAGCTACAGTTTTCTCCCTCTTTGTTACTACAGGGTACAAACTAAAGGAACACATAACCTAGTGGAGAATTCACATAAGCAAAGAAACTTAAGTATGAAGGCACTAGCACAGAACAACTAACTCATATGCTAGTTTCCCTCATGGGCAATGTATTTAAGAGACAATAAGAATATTAGAAACCTGATATGGAATAAGGCAGCAGAAAACACACTGATCATCCTTTGTCATCTAAAATAAATTTTGAAGTTTTATTCCTACAGTGGAAAACAAATCTCTTAAAATAGTGACACTGATGTTGCAATTTACTGTAAGTACCCCTAAATCAGAAACTGCATAACAGGCAGAAAAAGGAAATTCAAACAAGTTGATAATGTGCTCCTTTTATTATACAGGTGTTTCTTATTTAGTTCATGTTTTCTTCTTTATGGGAAGGAGCAGGAATATTATTTCCCACAAACTAAGAATAGGAGTGATCCAGTGATCCTGCAAACTAACCTTTTGCTAACTTCACTAAAAAGTACACGTTACAAAGCTCACAGTGTAATATCCTTGCCCCTTCCAGAAACCATTCTTAGTTCTCTTCTACTATGATGCTAAACTATTCAAACTCGTACCTATTATCTCAACTTTTATGCTGAATACTGTGAGACCTTACTGATCTACCTGTTTAGACAAGCTAGAGCACTGACATCATAAAAAGCTGATCTGAAACAGACATATATTCACCAAGAAACTTCTGAACGATTATTCACCAATGAATAACACTTAACTTCAGCCTTTGGTCATTTATTTCCACACCCATTATACACAGAACAAACACTTAACTACTGAAACTCTCCTTCACCATCCTCATTTGCTTTGTGTCAGCCCAAATGAGAATATCCTTTCCCAGTGGCTGAAAAGATCTCAAATTTACAAACAACCAGCAACCAACCAACCAACCAAAAAACCCCCAACCCCAAACAAACAAGCTCGCTCACAACAACTATGCTACCTGTTTTTCTAGGCTTTGATACAAGTTATGGATTAAACAAAAGCAACCCACAAAGCATGCTTGGCTCCATACACCTCATACTGTGAGAGTAGAAAAGTCAATCAGATTTGCTGTTTGGTAAGCTGGGTGCTTGTACTATGAGACAAGAATTTTCTGTATACGCAGAAGTTTCCCTGACTGGGCAACACTCTTTAAGTATGAACTATTTCTCTCCTCTCTGCACTGCCATTAGTCAATGTGCCCTCACATCCACGGCTGGAAGAAACCAGTAAAAAGCTCGTACAAGTTAAGCCAGTCTTACCGATGTTGATGTTCAAGAACTACCTGCTCAGAAGTAAAGGTGGTCTTTTTGATTTTTGCAGCCCTGTACCAGGCCATTAAACTATGCTCATCACATTAACTCACCAAAGCTCCTGACAAGAATGAAGACTGGTACTGCCTAGCTCACTTCAGGAAGTGGAACTGGAAAAAACCGGGAAGGGATTAGAACACAGAGTTAGATCATATCAAGAATACCCCATGAAACCTAAGGTCCCTCATGGTTCTCCCAGGAAGCCTGTATGCTCTGCCAGGCTACATTTAGGTGACCAAAGCAAATCTGGCACAGACTGGTACAAGTGCAGCGCAGCATGGATTACTCCTGAGCAGGGATAATCTAGTTGCCATCTAGGTTTCTCCAACAAGTGACTTTGATGGTTTGTTCCAGAGCAAATCACAATGTGAATTATGTTTGTGGCAGGGATGACACAAACATGACTGGTAAGCCTAGCGCAAAACACAACAGGCAAGTTACACCTGCAGACTTGTATGGTCTAAGCTATGTTATCAGCGTGCTGAACTAGCACCCTGATTTTCTTTGCTGCTGTTTGACCATGACTTTCTGGCTATTTTTTGCTTTTCCTTTATTCTTGCCAGGATTTCCAAATCTTTGTTTACATGGTGTTGCCATCAATGGCCTCCCTTCACCCTCAACCCTCCCTTTGCTGGCAGCAGGGCCGTATTGTGGCTGCCAAGCAATCGGGAAAGGCTGTGCTCTGTTTCACTGCCTTGAGGGAGACACCAACAGCATCCCTGGATGCCGCACAGGGCAGCAGTTCTCTGGGATGTAGTTCTGTGGATGTTCTCTGTACCACACTGCGTCACAGGAGATAAGCCAGGCCGTGTCTAAAGGAAATTGGCAGCACAGCAGGTGAACATGGCCTGGGCACACTGTCTATACAGATAAACACAATCAAAAGTAGCAGCAGTTGGCATTTATATAAGGGCAGATACTATTCTTACCCATCTTGTTTGGTTCCTCAAACCCCAAATAGCCCACTGAGATACTACTGGAGGAGTAAGTGTCACTGAACAAGAGACACAGCATGTGCTTTACAGCACTTCCAGAATCCAAACCCAATCAAGCATAAACAGATGCAAGGTCATTGCATAATGTTTGTTGAAATGGAGCTGTATCTCCATTTGCTGCATCCTGACTTGGGTACTTACATTCCAACTGCTTTATGGATACAATTGTATCTTCTCTTCCAGTGTGCTCTTCCTAGAGAGCCACTCCAAGTTAATCCTGATTTAGACTGCCATAAGCAAAAACAAGCACACTGCATTACAACACTGCTCCCAGGCAACTGCAAAGACAAATCCATTTTTTAGAGCTATCCTGGACTTTTGAGTTGACACTACTGTAAAAGACATGATGCATTTTCAGTTTAAAATTTCATGCTAATCAATTTAGAGAACTCATTACTTCAAATGGTTCAAATCAGGCCCCAAGCTGTATGAGTAAGAGAGGATGAAATACACTCAAGCAATCAACCTGTTAGGTAACCACTAGAATTGGCAAAACAGGAAGCACTGGGAAGCCCTAATAAATACATGGGCACCAAAATAGGTGTTGGACTCTCTACTTGTGTTTCAGTAAGTCATTTATTGAATGCAAACAAAGAAAAGAAATACAAGGGATTTCTAGAAATAAAATATAATGTCAGAGAAGATTTGATAGAAACTTCAAAGACAACTTACTGGGGTTTTTAATGTTTTGCACTCATACCAACATTGCATATTTTATCTTATTAGTAGAGTGCACACATAAATCTCAAAAAATCATGCATGAATGCTCTTTGTCTTATCTTCTATAAAGAGTGGGTTCATGCCACTTGGTACCTATTTTTTTCTTGTTACGCAGCAGTCATAAGAGGGAATGTTTACAGTATTTAAATACAGAATGTTCAGGTTTATAAGGCTTAAACTTCATCTGTGGCAGCAAAATTATTCGGTGCTCAAGTTACGCTGTGTCCCCCTGCTAACTCTTTACTAAAATTGGTGCCCCAATGGCAGACATGCAAAAATCTAAATCCCTGTATTAAGGTGCCATAAATCACAGCACAGCTTACTCACATTACACTCGGATTTATACAGGCCTTTAAAAATTTGCATAGTCAGTATGAACAAGCTAACTGTTCCTAAGTTAATAACCACGGCATCTCTTTGAAGCAGTGTTTCTTCTGGCCTGAGTCTGGTCAGCTTCTTAAAAGAAGGAAACTAGGTCCTGTGTTCAAGACTTCAGAGTGACAAAAGTGCAAACAAAAAGTCAAAGTCTTTTCACACAGAGCACCTTGGCTTCCTATGTAATTAGGATGACAGATTCAAGGTACAAAGATCAAGTTCCCTTAAAGTAAGAGGATGGAAACTCAAAAGAATAGAGGATCACAATGGAAATACCCACATTTTTTCTTTTCAATTTTGAGGATGTTTCCTTGAATATTCAAGTGCAACGAAGGCCAAAATTGACTTGAGCAGAGCAGTTACATAGCACACATGTTTTTATGTCAATACCTAGCTTTATTGTTCTCATGATAAAAATTCTCCAAAAGTACTCCTGACCTACAATATGAAATATTACATTTATAGCACTTTAAAAGGCAAGATTATTTTCTTCTTGCTTAGAAAAAGTCTGTTAAACTACAATTTTTTATAAAGGTCCAGACTAAAAAATATAAAAATGTATTTGAAATTTGGCCTTGTTGATTTATTCCATGTTCAGTTTTTTTTTTTTTTTTTTACTTAGTCCTGCTCTACCCTTTTCAAAAGTATCAGTTAGCATGGCATTTGGCTGTAGAAATGGAAGAAGGCATAGATGGGCTGCAATAACCAGATTCCATGGGTAGCAAGAGCCTGAAGAGGTTTAAGAAATGTATGACCACCTTACACAGCACTTCTGAATTTAGACCAACATATCTAATTATGCTGCTATTTTAGCTCTTTGATGGGCAGAGCTTAGCATATGGCCTTGTTACATATGAGACTATACAGTGCGCATTTATTTCTTAGTGTTTTTCCTGCTGAAGAACACTGTACTTAATGGAAGAAGTTTTTGCTGATCAGTCCAACCAGGTCCTGAGGCAGTGAGAATACTTATCTTCCACAGGATCTTTCAAGTTTTCAAGCCTTAAGTTGCTTTCTCATGAAATGTTTTCTCAGACATATTATATACATACAACTCAAATAGTAAGTGAGCAAGATAGGCAGGCAAGAACTGATCTCCTTTTCCATCTTCAGGCAGACTACTTTGATTGCATGTTAAATCTGTAAGGAGAGGAATTTTACAAGGACATATCCAAGATAAGAAGTTTCAGATATTTAACTCAGACAGACAATATGATTTATGGAGAAGAAGGCCTGAGATAAAACTCTAGCACCATCCTAGAAATACTGATAAACATAGGTGAAGGGGAAAAGTTCAACTTTTTGCAGAAGGAATTTCTGTTTCAGCCAATAATGGATGTTTCATCAGGAGCTAGCTGAAAGCACATACACTCAAAACTCTGCTAATAAGGAATAACCTAGAAAGCAGACAAGTTACCAAATAATATAAGTACTCAGTGAGCAAAAATATAACAGATGAGTTGTGGAACTGTTCTTTGATGGGTCAAAGGGCACAGAAATTATGCAAGTCAGACAACTGGGGAGCAACAGAATATAAGCTCTATGAAAAGCAAGCTTACTAAATACAATTATGCGTAAAGCATATGGGTGAGGAGGATGCGTCATATGAAAGGAGAATTAAAGCTATGACATTACAGGGATAAAACAGATCAGCCATTACTCAAAGACGCTTTCAGAAGGTTTCAAAGCCACCTAAAGAAGACCTGGAACACAACTGTTAAACTGTCACAAGCTCATGAAGAAGCACTTCCATGGTCAAAGCCAGGTGCATTCATCGGATCACAACCCAAAGGCCACTGAAGCCAGTGCCAGTTTGCAGAGACTGCTCTGCAGCCTTTGCTTTGCTACCACTGTACTTTTACAACTTTTTTTTTTCCTGCGCAAAGAGGGCTTCAAGAAAGAGCAAGCACATGCTGTTGACAGAGATAATAAGAAACAAAAGGCAGGAAACCACAAAAATATAGAAGCAAGCCCCTGAATGTGTTACTCATTCAGAAAGGAGAATTCCTATTTATTAAAGAACTGAATTCCACTTCTCTTTCTGGCCACCATACTTCAGTCAATCCTTCTTCCCTTTAATCAGGTTTCAGAAACAGCCCTTCTTTCTGAGCCCTTCTATTCTGAGCTCTTTATTTTCTGCTATTACTTTGTTATTTTAAAGTAGCAATTACTGAAGTTCACTAGTTGGTTCTTTTGAGGTGTATGTTATCTAGCCTAAAAAACCTGCTGTATCATTGCTAATACTAGTTATTTAATTCTAACACCTGCTCCTTATTTACTGTGATTGACTAGCACTACTATTCAAATACCACATATAAAGTCTCTTTTATTTTCAATTAAGTATGTTGACAAGAGCAAGCTGCTGCTCTGTCCTTAACTTCTCTGCTAAGTATGAATTACTTCCCCTATCCCAGATTTCTCAAATATACTCTCACACAGCCAACACACCAAATTATATAAATCGATACATGAAACTTAATGCTGTGAACACACTAGACTGACACAGAAAACTGTATCTTGTTTGCCCTGCCACACCACAAATCTGAAATACGCAGAATAACAGGACAATATTAAGGCGAGATCTTAAAGACTGCTCAAGCATAACTGAAGCATTCCTTTGGACCTTCCCTCACAACAACTGTGGATCCCTTCATTGCTGTGCTAGAGGGTCTTTGGGGATTCACGATGGCCCCTGGTATGTTAAGGAGGCAGAACACAAAGATGCAGTGGTGAGATCCCACAAAGACCCATCAGCCTAAAAGTGGTTGAAGGTGGATGAATGCCTAGCCCTAAGACTACCTGCCTTCCACACCTTACACTGCTACCTTCTCTAAGAGGCAAGAATTTGTAGGCTAAAACAAACCTAGCACTCACAAATTGTGCTGCATCAATCTGCTGGTTTCTTCTATTTAGAGAGTCTGTGTTGCTGTTTTTCAGCTTCTCAGCCATTAACTAAACCACGGCTTGTGTTTTAGGTACGGACTTTGGAGTCACAAAATCTGAACTACCTGAAAGCAAGAGAGGCTTTGTGTAACCTAAGTTCAAATTGCATGGAGTGGGGCTGATGGGGGTGGACCAATTCTATTTTATTCATGAGGCAGGTTGTGTTTTTTGTACTCTTAAAGTGAAAACTAGTGGACATCAGCCAACATAAGGAACCCACAAAAGAAACCGAGAAGAGAAAAGGGCGAAGGAAGCAGTGAGTCCGAAAATTAACAGGTTATACGTGCAGCGGCCTCAAGAGCCACGTGAAGCAGCTCCGGCCCGACCCCGCAGGCGGGGAGCGGGGCTGGCCGCACTCACCTTCCCGCAGCCCGGCGGCCCCCAGAGGATGAGGGAGGGGATTTCGTGGGACTCCAGCAGGGACCGCAGCAGGGTCTGCGCCCCCAGCACCCGCTCCTGCCCCACGTAGCTGCCCAGCGTGTCCGGCCGCAGCCGCTCGGCCAGGGGCTTCCCCTGCAGCTTCTGCGCCAGGCTGTCCCCGCACGGCGCGGCCGCGCAGCCATGGCCCGGCGGCGCGGCGGCCTCGTCCCGCCCCGCGTCTGCCGGGCTCTGCCCGCCGCCGCGGCCCTTGTGGAAGAGGGAGAAGACGGGGGACGCGGCGGCCGGGCGGGCCTCCTCCGGCTGCCCCTCGGCCTGGCTGCCCGGCGGGGCGGCGGCGAGGCGCGGCCGCTTGCTGGGGGGCTCGGCCTCGGCGCCGCCGGCCTGCAAGCAGCGGTCCAGGTGCGCGTTGATGTCGGCGCCCGGCAGCTCCCGCAGGCACACGGGGCACTGCACCGGCCGCTCCTCCTCGGCGCCCTCCGCCGGCTCCATGGGCTCCCGCGGCGCGGCAGGAAGCGGCGCCGCCCGCAGCCCTTCGGGAGCTGTAGTCCGCCCGGCCTTTCCTGCCCTCGGGGGCTGAGCTGCATCGCCTAGGCCTCTGGACTCGGAGTCCGCCTCGTCTTTCATTGAAATATGTCAAAACGTCATTCTCTGTGGAAAAACCATCAATAAATTATTACTTAAAAAAAGAAAAAGAGATTCAAACCCAAGGGCAGGTTGTATTTCGAAGATGGGCGCAGTAAGAGGTACCATTCGCATCCTAATTTACGACCCGAACTTGACCCATTGGTAATTCTTTCCACATTACATCTTGTTTTCTTTCTTAAAGTATATGTTTAGGTTTAATTATACACCGTGACATAATAGTTCCCAGCTTGTAAAATTCAGGTCAGTCTAATGTCAGCTGTATTAGGAGGTAAACAAGTCTGGCTACTGCCTAACAGTACCCCCAGGCTTAAAATTTAGAAAATGGCTGGTTAGAAAGTGGCCAACAGGTCAGAAATAAAAATTTTTTTGAACTGATGATGGATACCAAAGGACTGAGTTTGAAGCAAAGTGCTTTACAGCTCATCATGTAAACCTAGTTCTTACTGAAGGGATTATAATCTAAACTCAGATGTTGAAAGTGAAATGAGGTGTTTGTGGGTTCTACTTTTCAGCTAATGCCTATTTGCTTGCCCATTTCTAGTCCTGATCAGTTTTAGAAACAATTACTACATTGTTTATATTTTTTTAATGCAAATATATTGATTTCCTGCTATAGGGTAGAAAAAGCAGCAGGACCATAGGTATGCACCGCCTGTGCTTATAGTTAAGCAGTGCTTTTCTGACATGTGTGGTCTCCAAGTATGTAAGTGAAGATATGGTTCATGAAGCAAGATATTTTGCTTGAAGTGAGCAATTGGCTTGCTGAAGATGACTCAGAAAGTAAAGGAAAGTATGTCCCAGGCAAGAGCTGAGAAATGTAAATGATTGAGGGAAGGTTTTCACCGTCCTTCGTCCTTCAGAGGAAAATGGAGCTTCACACCATGTGAAGCTCGTAGGTTCCCATTGCTCAGTGGCACATGACCAAGGTGAGATTTCTCTGGGACTTCGGAGGAGGCACTTGCAAGCAAATTTCACATTCCACTGTTCAGCTTTTAGTTTCAGGGATGTATTAAGATGATAATGATGGAGAGCACAATGACATTTGGACTCAATCCTAGTCGCTGCTTGGTAACAGAGCCCAGTAAGACATTTGAGCTTGCCATCCCATTAATATTTTCCCAGATAAGTAATTCACTGGTTAGCCTGAAGAAACATGTCCTTTAGTTAGGACGTGTCATTCTCACTCGATAGATGGCCACATTTGGTGATCAAAGCATAGAGAATGATGTGCTCTTTGAAGAGCCAGAATCAGCTGTCCTTGGTTGCAGTCCTGTCAGACCACAAGGTCTTCACAGCCAGGCCACTCTAAATCACCATAGAATTTGAGTAGCTGCAGACATGGAGGTAGCAGCAGGGCATCTGGAAACATGTCCCATTTTTTTTCTGGCAGGTTTTGATTACGTCTTATCATCCCTTGCTGTGGAGTAGATAAAACGATCTGTAGGATAATGGCTTGAAGGTCAGAATGAGCTCTTGGGTATTTCACCTGCATTTGTCAGAGCCTTTAAGAAAATCCACAAATCTACTTTGGAGAAATGAGGGAAGAAAATCTCATGAAGTGTTCTTTAAGCTGATGGCAGTAGAAATGGAGGGATGTCAGAGCTATGAAAGTTGGTAAGAGATGCTAGGTGCAGCAGACTGGACATTTTTACATATTGGATGCATGACTTCTTCAGATGATGAATGCCTTACAGGCCCAAGATGGTGTGCCTGCATCTCCCTATTAACAGCACAGTCTACAACAACATGGTAGCAGGAATCTCTCTGGAAGGCTCATTTGAAAATACAAGGTTACATGGTTTTTTGCTGTCCATCATCTTTAAATGTCACCACTATCCAACCATCTGTTGTGTTACATGGGATAGCACGTGGCATCTTTCACATCTGGGAAGCTTGGAGGGCTAACTCTGGGCAGAGCAGTTACTTGGTATAAGTACACATTTGATCTGCTGCACATGCACAGATGTGGGGTCAAAACACTGAGGAACATTTTCTGTTGGAAGGTGTTTGGGTAAAAATAACTGATTTAATTGGGTCTTTGGTTGTGCACTGAAAGCTGTTTCTCTGTGCTGCCAGCGACTGTAAGGTTGTATATAAGTTCTTTATTACACCATATAATTTATGGTGTTTATGTAAGTTAAATTGAAACTATGAGCTGTGTAATGAGATTTAACAGATACAGCTTTCTAGAGCTAAGGCATTAGCACTGTTCTTTTCTAGGTGGGTTTCCAGTACAGTGAAGGAAGGGTTGCAATAACAACTACAGAAATATTTTGGTCCTCTATTTCCTGGATGTAGAAAGAGATGCTAAGTGAAATTTTAGAATACTCTTTTTTTAAAAAATTAGTCTTTCAGAAGGACATATATTCCAAGTGTAGGCAAGTGATTATTTGAGGTGGGAACCCACAACCTTGCTGTGGAATAAAAGCCTTCTACAGAGAAGGCCTGACTTGCAGTGGCCTTCCAACCAATCCTACTGTTAGACAAGCCTCGGTGATCCTACATCTTGTACTTGCCAGGCACATCAGAAAGGCCTGCAGAGGAGAAGAACCCAGCTGAGGACTGTGCTCTTCTGCAGCCTTCAACAGAGGGCCAGAAATTGCCACCATTTTGGCAACTACCTATTTTTGTGGTACAGGATGGTGGGAAGAGAGAGAAAGGGCCTGTATCCATGCCTGTACTGCTCTGTTAAGTGTCTAAAATCTTTCTGGACTTAATATCAGGGTCCTTGCATATCAACTTGCTGGAACTGCAGCAGAAAAGAGAACACGTTGAGCAGCAGGGAACCACTGAGATGGCTAAAAAGTGAGGGATGCTCCATAAACAAGGTGTGCAGCAACAGCAGTAGGTATTTTGCTGAGCTAAATAGTTTCTGTGAATGAATTCAATTATATTGGTCTTGTAGCCTTGAATTATCTGGTGTTCAGTGTAGAACAGTTTCTGTGAACAGGCAGTGCTGTATACTCTGGTTCGGCAAGTATAAGGAGAGAGAGTTGAAATATAAAGTGTTGCAACACGGTAATTTTCTAAGTCAAAATGCTTGAATAACACTAAGACCTTTTATTTATCTTTCTTTTGAACAGCCAAGAAAGAGGAGAAATCAGAAGTTATGAGTGTTCACTGGTTTATGAATCTAAGGTGGAGAGAAGAACAGACAGCAAATTAACTGGACATAGTATGAAGCTACTTAAGATTAACAGGCTGGAAGAAATAAATACGCAATTCAGCACAAGCAGACTAGAAAAAACAGCCTTTTTTCAAAGTGTGGAGAAAATGAAGATGACTAGAAGCTTTCAGGAACAAAAATTCAGTGAATCAGATCCTGGAACAGAAGAGAAAAAGGTAACTAACTAACTGCATAATTAATTTTGTTTTCCCAAAAGCACTGCCTCTTTCTTTTCTTCAGCTAGTTAAGGAGTTTGCTTTGCGTATTTCCCAGCAGACTTGAATTTTTCATTATCGTCTGTGAAAATGTATTGCAGCTGTGTTAAGATCTGATTATTGAGAGATGCCTCTGCCCAAATTAGGGTGCAAATGAGACCACATGGCAAAGTCAATAATATGGATTTTATTTAATAATGAATTTGAGGTAGAGAGATAGAAATGGAAAAGAGAAGTGGGGGGAGAGAGAAGTTGAGTAGAAGCTAGTCACCACCTGTGGATCAAATGACATTTCATTGGTCCTTTTTCACACATGTCTTCTCAGTGGCGAAGGTTCTGAGGTCGTTCAAAACTTTCCACTATTTATATATCTTAGCAGAGAAAGGAATTAATGTTCATTGGCTGCACAGTTCTCTTAGTCTATTGGTTAAATTATTGCCTCACTTCTAATACTAATTAGTGCACATGCTGAGTCTTTTCATTTGGGTTGGTGGGTTTCTTGAGTTGTGGGTGGTTTTAATCTCCCCCTGCCAGAACTGATTTTTACCCAGTCAGAGCTGATTTCAGCACGGTTGCTGAGTAAGCTTTCCTTGTGGTCCATAAATTCTGCATTCTTTGTGTCCATTTTCACTGATACATTCTTCTCCCCTGGCTTTGTTAACCTTCTCCTCAGTCTGAGACAACGCTCGAACAATAGTAACATCATTATCTTATTTCAAGTTCTTATCACAGTAGCTTTACTATTTGGGGCAGGGCTTTGGTGGTGGCAGATACCAACTGTCCCATAACTTGGGGGGTCTTTGGTGATATAAATACAAGCAGTTGCTCATTTACATAATTTACCACATTGGGAATTTTTGTCTAGATGAATTACCAAATATGTACTAACCAGATCTCGCTTCCACCAGTCCTGGAGTTAGCACCACACTGTTGCTCCATTCTGTGCTTATCTTGTAGCAAAGTCCTTCTGTGGCCCTAACAGTATTTGGGACAGGCAATTGTGATCTTTAGGTTCTTACAGACTGGTTAGCATCTTTTAATTTTTTGTGTTCATAGAAGCAAGCATGTATTGTTTTGCTGGGGTTTAATTACTACTGGACTTAATATTCAGAAATTGTAAAAGAGTTGTGTGGTTCTACCACCCTTCAAAATCAGAAGGTAAAAATGTTTTTTGTTGGATTCATGTTTTGAAGACATCTGTCCTGTCTAGCAGCTCTGGAGTTAGTGGAGACTGAAGGAATCCCACGGAAAGAGCAAATTCCCCAGAGGAACTGAGGCAGCTCTGTGCTTTGCTGTCCACTATCTGGCGAGCAGCGTGTGGTTACATGCTGCATGCCACACTTGCAGGGCTGAGTGTTATCAGTGTAGCTCTGTTCTCCACCTGTCTCTAGTAAGAATGGTATTAGGCATCTTGATATGGGGTCTCTGGTAGGAAAATGGCTCTGTAATCAGCAAAAGTATGTTTAGAAATAACAGCACATTTCCTTGTATTATGGGTTTTTTCTATGCAAGAATCTAAAGAAAGCAGTATTTTTACTGATGCATCATTTAGATAAGAACTGAGAAAATCCACTTGCAGTAGGAGAATGAGAGATTAATTTTACATACCAGTT